CCACTTAGACTCCGTGGTGGCTTCCAGTATTAATGCAGTAAGACCAATCAATGTACGTAGTTCCAATCCAGATCAACATCATACAAGCGTTTGTGCCAGAATCCTTACTTGAATGTCCAGGGTTTTTAGAAGGATTGTATAGTGGGCCCTTTAAGCGGCCCTCACTTGTCGGCTAGTCGTAGCGAGGTTAAGACGGAACTAAATAAACTAAAATGTGGTAAAATGCTAAAAAAACGGGGAAAATGTTATAACCCCCATTATAACTAAGTTATTTAATGAAATACTTTTCACATCAATATATCCCGATTCTTGGAGAAAAACATATGTTACTTCACTACATAAACTAAGGGGCAAATCTGACAAAGTGATCAATAACTTTCTTCCAACTTACTACATGTGTATAAAATACGAACAATTGGTTAGAGGTGTTGAACTTATTGACCTCCAGCTGGTTTTAATAATATATGATATTATCTGTTCAATTCTATGAAGAATGTGTTCTCTGTGTTGAAATTAGAGAATTAATTAACCCCATGTATCATTGACAAGCTACATTTGATCTGTTTTTTTTAATAATGCGGTAGTATATGATATTATCTGTTTAACTCTATGCAGAATGCATTCGCTGTGTTGAAATTACAGAATTAATTAATTCATCTCACGTGTCATTGATCTGTGTAAAACCTGACCAATATCTTAAAATGAAGTACGTATGGTCCAGCCATCTCGTGCACGGATTAGTTCAATTAAATAGAATAATGTTGACGTTAAAGGGTGCTTATACGAAACACTAACCCAAAAATGGTAATTTGTCCCGCCATAACAACTGGGAACGGAGCCTTTATTTCCAAATATCTATCGTCCTTACACGAGGATACCTTGATAATCCGTTGGAAATAATGCGCCTCGGGAAGATTATATAGCCTATAATGCGCAACTGGAAACCCTTGTCCCACAGTGATACTAAATATATGACGATACGTTGTCGTGGGGGTGGGGGCGTGGTACTGGAGCGTCTAAAAACTAGAGGAAAAGAATACTTAAAAGAACAACTGAGTGAGTACATATAAAAATATTCAATGCCTAATAGTAATGAATATAGAAAATGCAAAATACATATTATGAATGTGAATATAAGAAATATAAAATGTCGACTGATATAAAATATAATATGCTTCATGTAATAAAGCTAACGGACTTGATGTGCATGCAATGTCCTTTACACGGAGCATGCATGCGTGCGTGTAATATTTGCAGAATATTTACATTATAATTCTAGATGTAATATATATAATCCATTAGAGCTGGGTGAGATGTCGAGTTCTACATCGTTTATATGTCACCCAATACGCTCGTGGATATTATTAATGAAACAAAGATTTCATTATTAATACATACTAATTATGTGGTTTTTAAAATGTACCAACATTGTAAGCTAAATATTAGAGAGAGAGAGAGAGAGAGAGAGAGAGAGAGAGAGTGAGAGAGAGAGATCGGGTTTAACGTCCACTCGACACAAACTAGGTCATTTCGGGACTAACACATGGTTCAATTTTATTTCAATAATTCGTTTGCGCGTAGGGTTCTTTAGCAGTGGGAGGAAACCGGAGGAACCGGCGAAAACCTACGAGGTTGGACAGGCGACACTACTCCTTGTCACGTGCAACCGGGGAATCGAAACCATTCGGCCATCCCCCCACGTCTCCCTCTCAATAATAGAGACTATTCTATTTGCCCCTCAAATATAAAGTAACATACATAAAATATAAGACAATTAATATATTACAATTTTATAATTTAAATATTAAAATAGACATAATGTAATTTAGCCTTACCTAGAGGAAGAGAAAACTTTTAAGAACAACTGACGTTTATTTCGTGTACAGTGTGAGTGCGAGTAAAGAAAGACAGGACTCGCTCCCATACATTAACGGCGCTAACCCTTATCCTGGTCTGAACCTGTAATTGCAGGAAACCGCAATTAACTATATAAAAGTTGAATAAGAGATCTTGAAAACCATTAAATATTATAATGTAAATGAACTGAGCAGGAAAAAGGCTTTTCGAGCAGATGTGATAAGACATGTAAGATAAGGATAAGAGAGAGAGAGAGAAATGGGGTTTAACGTCCACTCGACACAAACTGGGTCATTTCAGGACTAACATATGGTTTAATTTTATTTACATAATTCGCTTGCGCGTAGGGGTCTTTAGCAGTGGGAGGAAACCGGAGGACCCGGAGAAAACCCACTAGGTTGGACAGGCGACCCTACTCCTTGCCACGTACAAACGGGGATTCGAAACCACGCCAGTCGACTCAATGACAGACTTTATGATACAGCGCGCGCACGCTAACCATTCAGCCATCCAACCCCTTTGATAAGGATAAGACAGGATGTTTATTGCATCAAAACGTCCATTATGGACAGCATGCATACATACACTTAGACATGGTCATAAACATTTAAAAATACATACTACATAGGGGGATCACGGTGACTAAGTGGGTAAGACGTTGGCTCGCTAGCCTGGCGGTCGGGTGTTCGATCCCTGCATTGGCCGAGTAAGTTCACCCAGATTTTCCGGCGTGGTTCTCCCTTGTCAGTGACAAGGACAGCTGTCTAGTCGTTCGGATGGGACGAAAAACCGATGTCCCGTGTATACATTGGAGTGCACGTAAAGATCCCTTGACAGTTGGAATTCGATATAAGAGTAGGCCGTAGTGCCGCTGTCCGGGCAAAATTTCCCTCATAGCACACTGTATGGCGTATGCCCGTTTTCATTAGCCCAGTTTGGAGCAAAATAGTAGGACGTTAAACCCCATTCCATTCACATATTACATAGACAACTCAATACTTTCATACAAACAGTATACTGCATGTATATCAAAGGGGTTTCAGTTAGATGTAGTTGCCACCAAATTTGATTTAGCTCTCTTAACAAAAGCCAAAAACACATATAAAGCCACTGCCTTGGCAATCAATTTTGGTGGGTTAAAGAGATTAATACAATTGTAGGAAATCTTAGGATTTGCCGAGAAGGCTGGGTATAAATGGGCTTGGCGTATTTCTTCATACTTGTTACAGTTTAGCTAAAAATGATGCTCGTTTTCGATTGAGTTTAAATCGCAAAATTTGCATAGACGCAGATCAACAGGAATTTTTTTGTATCGTATGCCTAAACACCTGAACGCAATATCTGTATACTATAACGGGGGGGGGGGGGCGAATGGTTAGCACGTGCGTGCTGTATCATAAGGCCTGTCATTGAGTCAACTGGCGTGGTTTCGAATCCCCGGTTGTACGTGACAAGAAGTAGGGTCGCCTGTCCAACCTCGTGGGTTTTCTCCGGGTCCTCCGGTTTCCTCCCACTGCTAAAGACTCCTATGCGCAAGCGAATTATTGAAATAAAATTGAACCATGTGTTAGTCCCGAAATGACCTAGTTTTTGTCGAGTGGACGTTAAACCCCATCTCTCTCTCTCTGTATACTATAACAAAACTATTAACTGAGTTAGATATGACCTTATTAACCTAATCACAGTAATTAAGATATAAACAGAATTATACATTAAAATGTCTCTATAGATGCCCGAGTTAGATATGGCCCTATTAATTAAATCAATGAAGATTGATTACATTGGAATGTTTCTGTTCCCTTTATAAGGACGGAGATTTTGCCATGAAATCAGTATCGGACTGCCACCCACGGTAGTCACACCCGCAGACGACCAGGGGCCTGTTTCACGAAATTTTAACTAAGATAAAATCCAAATTTTAGTAATTTGATTGGATAATATTAGCCAATCAAAACTAAAGTATCTACTAAAATTTGGATTTTATCTTTTGTTAAGATTTCGAGAAACAGAGTCCTGGGCGAATGACGGAGACAAGTCATCTTTGTAGTATGTGTTGTATGTACACATAAAAAGCTGTATCTTGATATACGAACGATGTAGTAATATGGATGGCAGGGATTTGTGCTAAAGAACACATATGTAGAATAATATTATGCTCTTGATTAATTATTCTTCATTGTCAAAATATTAGCTATGGTATAAGTTTGTTTTCAAACGCAAATTAAATTGTTTATGAAATATTGTGACAATATCAGAACATGGGGTCTAAAGACAAAGAATGGAGAAATATGATGGCTGAAACAATATTGTTATCTTTCAAATTATTGATTCTAACTTCATAACCAAAAATATAGAAAGTATATGCTGGTTATTTTGATACGTTAACTGAGCTATAGATTAATGAATATGTTTCTTTGTTATAAAACATATATCATATTTGTTGACCAAATTAGGTAACAATCCCTGCCGATATCGAGGTTGGGGTGCATGTCCATTCCATATTTGGAATTTAGCTGTTATCAGTCTTTTACGTTAACACCACAGACAAAAGAATAGGCACCTATAAGTAAGGGGGGGGGGGTGAGGGCTAGAATAGTCCGACACGCATTGGGTTCTATAGACGATCATTTCACGATGTAGTGGTTTCCTGAGTCTAGCCACGCTTGTTAAATTTATACAGGACTGGGGATGGAGAGAAATACATGGTAATTTTAAATATTGTAATGCAGACTACTGTGTAACTGTTGTGACATAAAACATTTAGTAAAAACACTATCGTTTGTGAATATGTGTACACGGGACCTCTTTTTTTCATCCCATCCGAACGACTAGCACAGCTGTCCTTGTCAGGCCCTCAGTCCTGTAAAGAGTCCCCAAACAAAATGTGAACGGACAAAGGAACGTCCAGACTGGGTCGACAACAATATACACGATTCACAATGGCATCTTCCAGAAGGAACTATATCGTACCATCTCTTATCTCAAGACACCCAGGGTCGAGAGATGAGGTTTCTTATTTAGCCGTACCCCCTCCCCCTCCCAGTTTTGTCAGTACACAAGTCCTATTGTGAAATTTACTTTCACAGAAAACAACTTGGCCAACTTAGAGAGGGTTTCCATGTGCTGATATGAATGAACCATAATAACATTTGAACATGTTTATTTTCATCTGTTTACATTCATAAACATTTAATACCAGTTTGTTTTATCATATACTATAATATATTTACATTTTATATTACATTTATCTTATATCAACTATATAGGTGTATGGGCAGCCAATTATCATATCAACTATATAGGTGTATGGGCATCCAGTTGTATCAATTATATAGACATATGGGCAGCCAATTATCATATCAACTATATAAGTGTATGGACAGCCAGTTATATCAACTATAATCACTGTCAATAGGTGTATCAATCATATCAACTATATAGACATATGGGCACCCAACTATAAAGGTATATGGGCGAGGGAGGGCATTCTATTTGGGGTGCAATAGAGAGTTTTTGCTCATTTCCAAAATGGAAATCGAGACTCAATCATCGTGGTGGTTTCTCTGTATATTTTCAAGAATATTAAACAAACACTCAAAATATATATTATAAATTTTCCTAAAAGATTTTGTTCCCTTGACTTTGGTTAATTTATGGGCAGTATACTACATTCTGTGAACTAAGAGGGTTTACATATATAAGGTTGGACAGATAATCATATCTTTAATGAAAACTTAATCAAATCTAGGTATTAAAGTATAACGTAATGTAGATGAATTAAAATTTGAAAATCATTCAATTATTTTCTAGATCTAGGCATGGGCGTGGATTTAGGGGGGGGGGGGCGGGTCCACCCCCCACCCCCCTTAGAATCGGAAGGGGGGACGAATAGGTCTCTGCCCCCCCCCATGATTTTGATCGCAAGGACAGATTTTCAGGTTTATATCCACATGAATGTCCCATTCTGAAGGGTATCTAACCACTGCCTTGGGTCTCGCCACAGTAATTCATCTTCACGATATCTTCCTTCTTAATTGTAGGTAGTCAATTTTACCATATCGTCATCATATTACCCCTAGTTACAGCTTTCATCGAAATAACACTGGTAAACTGTTCGTAATTATTATTTTGGTTTGGTAATGAAAGGTTCCAGGGTTCGTCCGTCCCCCCAAAAAGTTATGACAAATCCACGCCCTTGGATCTAGGCATTAAAGTATACCATAATGTAGATGAATTAAAATTTGAAAATCATATAATTGTTTTTATAGATTAGGAACACAATGAAATAACACATGACGTGCATAATAATAATAATAGTAGTATAAACCTCACACTGAAATTCCATAAGAAAAAATATATCTTTAATATAATATTGCTATATTCATCTAAATATGTGCGACGGCTAGACGTTAGGCATAATATTTGACTCATGCATGGTTAAATGTTTCTTGTCAAATAACTTTGAAAACATTGCCCATTTGCTCAAAGGGAGGTAACTCTATTTTATATAGTTGAATTTATAATTTTATAATCGAGACTATGTGTTTTTATTGTACTGACTTTAGTAATGATGATCGAGGCTAGGAACAAAATTCATTCGTTAAATTGTCATTTCAGAGTGGATCAATTTGACTGAAATTTTCAGCAAATTCCTTTTACATTATCTAGTTTTTAACTATTACAGTGAGAACTACCAGCTCTTTATCTAATCTCCCATAATGTATCTTTAAATTGTTTAGAATATTTGACACATATGTACTTGTTGGTCAGTTTTTATCTTAAAGATACAACATTAAGACTTTTTAGAATATTCCACAAAAGGCCATCCAACCACCCAGATTTTGATGTCAAAGATATGACATTTCTTAGACTAAAACAAAAATAAATATATACAAAGTTAAGTTTAAAAGATTACTATAGATGGTGAAATATACATCAATATAATTTAATATACTCTTATTATAATAGCTTTCTCCTATCTCATTAAAATACAGATCTATATTTCATTGTTTTATACTTTCGATGGCCTCTACTACATGAAGATCTGACCGGTTGCAGTGGAAGGTCGCGTCAGAGGTCATACAAGTAGCTTTTTATCCTATGACGTCAAACATTTGATTAACCAATCTGTGTTGATTTTTCTTGATGTCTGTCCACCTCACGCCAAAAACTCACCGTAACAGACCGTTTCATTGGCTAATCCCTCACATCATCCAGAACCCGGGTTATATAACAACTCTTTCAGATCCTAGTGTAGTAAAGACAAGTAAAACGAAATTGTGAACTATAAAAACCGAAACGAAATAAGAACTGTGTTTTAATCAGATTGAGCTTTCTCTAACACTCTCTTTACTTCTTCATCACACTCGTAAATCTCAAAAGATTTTTCATTCGCACCTGTACCTATGAACTATTGATATAGACTGATAAACTTCCTAAACAATCTTATTCAGAAGTCTTCTGACAAAAATAAAGAATTAGGCACAAAAAAAATATAAATCTATCACATCTTGTGATTTGAGTCTTAAAGTCTTTTGTTATAGAGAGAGAGAGAAATGGAGTTCAATGTCCGTTCGACTCAAACTATGTCATTTCAGGACTAACACATGGTTCAATTTTATTTTAATAATTTGCATTATTATAGCAAAAACGTCCAGCTCTTTATCAAAATCTTACATAATGCATTATTATAGCAAGAACATCCCGCTCTTTATCAATATCTTAAATAATTCATCTTTAGAGCTGTTGTTAGATGGTATTATAACGTCCACGTCAACAAGGTCAAGAAACAAAAAACAGAAAACAAATGGAATTGTAGTCTAACATTAAACAGACACCTGCAGAGCTGACAGGCAAAGTGTGCCTAGTTGTTTGGATAGACCAAAAAAACCAAGGATCACTCATGAACCTACTCGAATACATGTAAAAGAAAACAAATAGGTCGAATTGCTGCTGTCTGGGCCAAATTCTCTCCTTGTGACAATTCTAAAATAACTTGTCAGTCTGAAAATGACCTAAGTGTTGTGTTGACGACATGTAAAAACTCCATTCCTGACTTTAACTTGACTGTGGCTAATTACGAAAATAAGACAGGTCGATAATCCATCCACACATTAATCAATCAATCAATGAAAAAAATTTGAAACCTAGATCTGGTGGAGTTCCAAGATGTCAAAGAAAATATCTGTGATTGTATCCACGAAACTTTTTAACATTGTATCACTAAAAGATAAATGTTTATAACCGAGATTAATTGTTCACTACTATTGTTAATTTAATTCTGCATTTTAACGTCATCTTCGAAATAAGGAACGTCATCGACTGAACGGATATATTCTGGTGGTTTTTTACCCTCGACACAATCCACATCTACGACAACTGATGTTATATCAGAACCAGGTACATCAAACATAGCATCCAATAATATATTTTCCTGTAAAATATAGACAAAAAAGATCAAACATAGCGTCCAATAATATATTTTCCTGTAAAAATAGACAAAGAACATCAAACATGGCATCCAAATAAAGCTGCTCATATACTCCAAATATCAGCCTCAGGGCAGCCCTAGTCGAGTCGCTAACCACGAACGTACAAACGATAGTCACAAATATTATATATATATATAGATGCATATTGATTTAAAAATCCAAACAATTTAAGCTCCATAACTTTAAATATTCTTGAATAAACGACATTGTTTATCCCTCAATAACACCACTTACAGTACACAATTGTAATTTTGGAAACCTCCTAATTAAAGAATTAGATTTTTCAAACATTTTATTTGAGAAACGTGGATGTTTATAAGATTCATTAAGTCTGTAGGTAACCATAAAACAGCAACTCCATGCAAAGACTGGGTGTGGTTGTCTATTATTAATTAGCATAATATAGTATGATTTAACACCATGCAAAGACTGGGTGAGGTTGTCTATTATTCACTAGTAACAATGTCTCTACAGCGTTACCTAGAAACAAACTTGCCACGCCTCCCTCTTCCGCAGGGTAGAGTTTTATAAAACTAGTAGTTTAATCATCTTTTAGCGGGCATTTAGCAATTGACACACATAATAAAAACAAGAACAGAATATGAAACACAATTACAGCTACAACATGAATCTTAATTAAAGCGATATTACCATTTGCTTGATAACGTTGAGAAAACCCTCAATGAAGATTCTCTTTAATTAAAATAATAATTGTGTTCCATATTATGTTTTTGTGTTTATTAATATTTTAATAAGTAAAAAAAAAAGTTATTTTACCAGTATACCACGAAGACCTCTTGCACCAGTTTTTCTGTCTAAAGCCAGTCTAGCTATGGCCTGTAAAGCCTCTGTTTTAACCTCTAAATGAGACTGGAAATAAAAGAAAAAATATTCTAAGTTGTGACTTTTCCAATCGCCAAGGGATCTTTATGTGCACGCGAATGTGTACACGGGTTGTTTAATTTTTGTGTCCCAACTGAAGGACTAGACTGTTGTCTTTGTTAGGCCCTCCCTCTTGCACCACTGACAAGGGGAAACCAGACTGGAAAATCCTGATAAACTTTCACGGCCAACACCGGGAGCAAAACCCACGACCTCCAGACTAGCGAGCCAGCATCTTACTCATTAAGCCAATGTGGCTCTCCTGAAGATGGACGTCCAGACAACAAATGTTTGTACAGCTAGTAACACATGGTACATTACGGGCAATAAACCATATATAGCTACGCTGTAGAGTTCACAGAACGATCAGTAGCTCAGGTTATCCAGGCACGAACCTTTACTATATTGGTGCAGACACTGGACATCTAGGTGGTCGAACTGTCAACCGTTACTGCCTTTTAACTTTAATGTTACAACCATTTTGAACAATGCCTTAGAGTTTTGGTTACATACACTGTAAACTGGGTATCATTAGTTTGATTTTCAGTGATCTTAAATGATTTTTACAAATTTTTAAACAAAGATTTGATATGTGAAAGAAATTAGTGATAAATACACAAGATTAAATGATACCCAGGTTACAGTGATACTTTATCCATACTAAACAAGGCCTTAAAACTCTTGAATTGTGTAACTTATTCGTACTAAACAAGGCCTTAATTAAGATTCTTGAATTTTGTTACTTATTCATACTAAACAAGGCCTTAAGACTCCTGAATTTTGTAACTCATTCATACTAAACAAGGCCTTAAAACTCTTGAATTTTGTAACTTATTCATACTAAACAAGGCCTTATAATGTTGTTTACGTACCTTATCCATACTAAACAAGGCCTGGTATTGTGGTATCAATGCATTATTTGGTTCTGTTAAAATCTGTACTAACATGGACTCCGACAGATTATGGAAGGGTGTGATGATAGGAATTCTTCCAACGAACTCGGGTATCATTCCGAACTCTATGAGATCCGTGGCTTCCACTTGACGTAAGAGGGTGTCTCTTTCTTCGTTTTCAGCAGCAGCACTATCGATCTCAGCAGCCTGTTTCTTCACGTCAGCTGCAGATGTGGCTCTCCTATTCTCAGTTGTTGATTCAGCACCAAAACCTAAATACTATAATAACAAAAATTATATCTTTAATGTACGGTACATAAAATCATAAAGCAATGAAATTTGGTTTAATGTCCTATTTCCCGGTCTAATAAAGGCGGGCTTACATAATAGAGAGAACTGTAAGGGAAGCAGCTCCACAGCCGATGTCAGGAGATGCAGGCTTACACGATAAGAGAGCTGTCAGGAAGCTGCTCTACAGCTGATGTTATAAGGGAAGCAGCTCCACAGCCGATGTTAGGAGATCCAGGATTACACAATAGGGAGAGCTGTGAGAGAAGCAGCTCAACAGCCGATGTCAGGAGATGCAGGCTAACACGATAAGAGAGCTGTCAGGGAAGCTGTTTTACAGCTAATGTTATGAGGGAAGCAGCAGCTGATGCTAGGAGATCCAGGCTAACACAATAGAAAGAAGTACGAGGGAAGTATCTCTACAGCTGATGCCAGGAGATCTTGAATGTACAGGCAATGATATATATATATAGGATCTTGTGTTTTTTGTGCAATGTGAAAAACCAAACAGTGTCAGCTGTCCGGCACAACCAATAAGATAAAACTTGGCTGAAAAACCAGAAATTCAAATACCTTTTTGTTTTTCCGTCTGCTGACTATTTTATCCAGACCATTAAAAGCTCCGGATACTATAAACAGGATATTGGTTGTATCAACCTGAATCGTCTCCCCTCCTAACTTACGGGATTTTTTTTCTGGAACATTGGCGATTGTTCCTTCCAACAGTTTTAACAGTCCCTGTAGAAATAAAATATTTGTAATGTACAAGATTGAGATATTATTGATAAAAAGCATCTGATATATTAAAAAATTCCTTATAATCAAACCTGGAAATATGGCACAAATTCACGCTTGGTCAGGCACGAAATCACGCCTGATCAGGCATGGATGCCTGCCATTGATTTGTCTTATTTCTGTGTTTTTATTGATATATTTAATACAGGTTCAAAATGTTGGGTACAAATAGAATCGTTATCTAACATGAAATGTCAGTTACGCGTTTGTTACAGTCCGACAAAATATCAGGTACTAGTTTTAATTCAACCTGACAAAATGTCAGTTACTAGTTCGTTACAGTCTGACAAAATGTCATTTACTAGTTTTTTACAATCTGACACCAGTATCAGGTAAACATTATTTCCATGCTGTGTATTCTAGAATATATTAACAATCATGTAAAAAGTCTTAAGTGACAGATTTCACAGTACTTGAATAAGTCCCTTTTCAATATTTAACTTAAATTCACTAGGATGTCAGGAACATGTCAAATGACTTTGTTATGTTACTGACCTGTTGAACGCCTTCTCCACCAACGTCTTTTAAATGATAAACACCTGGAACACTTCCTATTTTATCTATCTCATCTAGAAATATAATACCTGAAAACAACAATATCTAGAAATATAATACCTGAAAACAACAACATCTAGAAATATAATACCTGAAAACAACAACATCTAGAAACACAATACCTGAAAACAACAATATCTAGAAATATAATACCTGAAAACAACATACAGAAATATAATACCTGAAAACAACATACAGAAATATAATACCTGAAAACAACAATATCTAGAACTATAATACCTGAAAACAACAACATCTTGAAATATAATACCTGAAAACAACTTCTCGAAATATAATACCTGAAAACAACATCTAGTAATATAATACCTGAAAACAACATCTCGAAATGTAATACCTGAAAATAAGAACCTCTAGAAATATAATACCTGAAAACAACATCTAGAAATATAATACCTGAAAACAAGAGCATCAAATATTTATATCCCAACTGCCGAGAAATTAATCGCGATATTTTCAAAAAATATTGCAATATAGAGGAAATATCGCAATATTTGTTTCCAGGGATATTGCCAAACTTTATATCTGTGTTAATTGTTATTTGGGAACATCAAAGTTATTACTATCCTGTAGAAGTCGAATATCTAAAGACTTAAATGCAACATCCCAAGACAAGAGGAACCTGGGCCTGAAAAAACCTGAATCCTTAGTTTACACTGGAATTTGAACCTGCACCATTGTAACCCAATGCCAATCTGATTAAAACACAGATCTTATTTCGTTTCGTTTTTTATAAAGTTCAAAATTTTGTTTTACTTGTCTTCATAACACTAGGAATCTGGAAGAGTAGTTATGTGAGCTGCATTCTGGTTGAGGTGACGGATTAGCCAATGGAATGGTCTGTTACGGCGAGTTTTGGGCGTGAGGTGCAAAGAACTGTGGGTAATCCACTAGAAACATCAATGTCGATTTGTTAATCAAATGTCTGATGTCATAGGGTCAAAAGCTGCTCGTATGACCTCTGACCCGACCTCCCAAAACAACTGGTCAGATCTTCATATAGTATAGGCCATCAAAAGTATAACCCCCTCCCCCACCCAAAATATAGATCTATATTTTAATCAGACTGAGCCCAGTGCCCTCAGCTGCTCGAGTACAGTAATTCCAACCAATGGAGATGGCGATGTGAATAACATATAGAGAGAGAGAAATGGGGTTTAACGTCTACTCGACACAAACTAGGTCATTTCGGGACTAACATATGGTTTAATTTTATTTCAATATTTCGCTTGCGGGTAGGGGTCTTTAGCAGTGGTAGGAAACCGGAGGACCTGGAGAAAACCCACGAGGTTGGACAGGCGACCCTACTCCTTGTCACGTACAACCGGGGAATCGAAACCACGCCAGTTGAATCAATGACAGACTTAATGATACAGCTCGCACACAACCCCCCGAATAACATATAGAAATTTAATATTTTATACCTTGTTGGGCTTTCTCTACATTATTATTACTGTCTTGTAGAAGTTTAGCAACGACGGAATCTACATCTTCACCAACATAACCAGCCTGGGTCAAGGTCGTACAATCACAGATAGCTAATGGAACATCTAAACACTTGGCTAATGTCTGGGCTAATAGAGTTTTACCTAATAAAAAAATCAAAAATTAGAAAATGGATTAAAAACTTCTGTTTATTTTAAACCTGGCCCTCAGTTCACAAAGCATTCTTAGTCTTAGTCTTAGACTTACGAATTTACCCAACTTTCAATCACTGTTTATGAGAATTATCTTTGATCCAGAAACACAAAACTTTGCACATAGTTTCTTATTGATGTATTTGATACATTAAAACAACTAAAATCTTATAAGGGGCTATATTTTAGTTAAAAAAAGGCGAACAATTTTGAGTAAATTCTTAACTTAATTTCAAGAATGCTTTGTGGACTTGGGGCCTGATCTCATCTAGTGAAAATAGATTGTTAAAAAAAATATACAATTGAATCTAGAAACCACTTTCAATTGTGACAGAGAGAGAGAGAAATGGGTTTTTATTCCACTCGACACAAACTCGGTCATTTCGGGACTAACATATGGTTCAATTTTATTTCAATAATTCGCTTGCGCATAGTGGTCTTAACAGTCGGAGGAAACCAGAGGACCTGGAGAAAACTCATGAGGTTGGCCAGACTACCCTATGCTTTGTTACGTACACCGGGGAATCAAAACCACGACAGGTGACTCACTGATAGACCTTATGATACAACACACACATGCTAACCATTTGGAATTCTGCCCCCCCCCACCTTTAATTGTAATTTATAACAATATTTCATTATATGCCCTGAAAGTACGGGTATATGATTGTCAATTCCTTCAAACTATAGGAGAGTATTTAACTATCACTGTTATCATAGCACAATGAGCACAATCCTCAGTGATGTGGATAAAACACATCATACTTTTATCATCGCACATTGAGCACAATCCTCAGTGATGTGGATAAAATACATCATACTGTTATCATCACATGATGAGCACAACCTTCAGTGATGTGGATAAAACACATGATACTGTTATCATCATATGATGAGCACAACCTTCAGTGATGTGGATAAAACACATGATACTGTTATCAGCGCACATTGAGATATGGATAAAACACATGATACTGTTATCATCACGTGATGCGCACAACCTTCAGTGATGTGGATAAAACACATGATACTGTTATCATCGCACATTGAGATATGGATAAAACACATCATACTGTTATCATCACGTGATGAACACAACCTTCAGTGATGTGGATAAAACACATCATACTGTTATCATCACGCGATGAGCACAACCCTCAGTGATGTGGATAAAACACATCTTACTGCTATCATCACGCGATGAGCACAACCTTCAGTGATGTGGATAAAACACATCATACTGTTATCATCGCACATTGAGATATGGATAAAACACATCATACTGTTATCATCGCACATTCAGCACAACCCTAAGTGATGTGGATGAAACACATCTTACTGCTATCATCATGCGATGTGCACAACCTTCAGTGATGTGGATAAAACACATGATACTGTTATCATCACACATTCAGCACAAGCCTCAGTGATGTGGATAAGACACATCATAAAGATACACATTATTATTGTTAAAAACATTAATCAAGGGGAAATATTTGGTAAGTACTATTTATTACTAACCTGACCCAGTAGGACCTAACATCAATATGTTACTTTTCTCTAATCTTAAATCATGTGTCTTAGCTTCGAGTATATCTGATCTTCGTGGGGTTTCATCCTGCTGTTGTTGCTGTTGTTGTTGTTGCTGAAGACTTGGACCAAGAGGACTACCACTTACAGCTATCTGTAACGTGTCTGAAAAATATAACAAGCAAGTTGAGATCTCCGGTCATTTCAATTATTATACATAATAACATTGATAACTTGAATTTGAAAGTCCTTTGTGATATTGACATCGAGAACAAATATAGTGAACTCGAAGCGCATTAGAAACTGTGGAAGCAGTGTTTATGCGCTATACAAATAATGATATTATTATTATTATTATAATTTTGAACTATTATAGCAAGAGAAATGAAATGAAATGGGGTTTAACGTCCTACTGTTCTGCTCCTATACTGGGCTAATGAAGACGGGCATACGCCATACAGTGTGCTATGAGGGACATTTTTCCCGGGCAGTGGCACTATCGCCTACTCTTATATTGAATTCCAAATGCCAGGGGATCTTTTACGTGCATTCCAATGTATATACGGGACCTCGGTTTTTCGTATCATCTGAAGGACTAGACAGCTGTCCTTGTCAGGCCCTCTGTTCTGCACCACTGACAAGGGGAAACCACGTCGGAAAATCCAGATGCACTTTCTCGGCCAATGCAGGGATCGACCACCCGACCTCCAGGCTAGCGAGCCAGCGTCTTAACCACCTAGCCACCGTGGCTCCCTTATAGCAAGAGGCAGATTCATCTCTTACATTGATTAAACTTACCTCTAGGAGAGAAATAAGTTGGATAATGTCTGTTAGGATCAGGTAGAGTAATTTCAGTATTTTTCGCTTGGCTATTATTAGAACTAGTGGGTAGATTGTGATATATACGTTTATAATGATTATAAACCGCTACAGACAGAACTTTCTTCGCATGTTCCTGACCTACTACATACTTGTTTAAATAATCATATATCTGAAAATATACAATCATTACATTCAGTATACAACCATTACATTCAATACACAACCATTACATTCAATATACATGCATTACATTCAATATACATTCATTATATTAAATATACATTCATTACATTCAATATACAATTCAATATACATGCATTACATTCAATATACATGCATTACATTCAATATACATTCATTACATTCAATATACATTCATTACATTTAATATACAATCAATGCATTCAATATACAATCAATGCATTCAATATACCATCATTAGATCCAATATACAATCATTACATTTAATATACAATCATTACATTTAATATACAATCATTACATTTAATATACAATCATTACATTCAACATACATTCATTCCATTCAATATACATTCATTACATTCAATATACATTCATTATATTCAATATACATTCAGTATACAATCATTCCATTCAATATACAATCATTCCATTCAATATACAATCATTACATTCGGTTTAACGATATATAGTGCCATTACTATATATCAATTCATCGGTACATGTATGTTGACTGTGTGTATTCAACAGTGATGGTAATTAGGATTCATCAAGCTTTTACAACTAAGAGTGGATAGTTTAAAGTCCACTCAACACAAACTAGGTCATTTTGGGACTAACATATGGTTCAATTTTAACTCAATAATTTGCTTGCATGTGTCTTTAGCAGTGGGAGGAAAATGGAGGACCCGGAGAAAACCCACGAGGTTGGAGAGGCGACCCTACTCCTTGTCACGTACAACCAATGAATCAAAACCATGCCAGTTGACTCAATGACAGACCTTATGATATAACGCGCACACTTAACAATTCGGCCATCCCCCCCCCCCCTTGGTTCATAAGAGAGAGAGAGAGAAATGGGGTTTAACGTCCACTCGACACAAACTAGGTCATTTCTGGACTAACATATGGTTTAATTTTATTTCAATAATTCGCTTGCGCATAGGGGTTTTTAGCAGTGGGAGGAAACCAGAGGACCCGGAGAAAACCCACGAGGTTGGACAGGCGACCCTACTCCTTGTCACCTACAACCGGGGATTCGAAACCACGCCATTGGTTCATAAGTGAATGGTATTTGTTTCATAGGGATATCTATACTAATAATTGTGACTGCTGTTTGTCGTCTGTTTGTCTGTCTGTCTGTCTGTCTGTCTGTTCGGGGTTGGCGGCTACACTAGGTCTGCCCCGAGTCTGAAATTTGGGGTATAGGGGTAGCTCGGACCGAGGAGTAACATAGGCCAGGTGGCGTTAGTCTACCACTTCCGGTTTCGGAGTTATGACCCCCGAGCGAAGCCGGGTATCCTGCCAGTATAACATAAACCTACCTTTTTTGGAGGGGGAGGCAGACGTTTATCTTGACTGTTTTTATCTTTATAAGTTTTTCTATAATCAGATTCGGATAAAACACTGAAAAAATGGTGACATTTCTCACATCTTACAAACCGGGTTGATGCTGAAAATAACAAAAAAAACCAACAACTCAAAATCATTAGTAAACTATAAAGTAAGGCTCTGGCTAGAAAATGTAAAAAAAGGGAGGGAAGAAATCTGATGTAAATCAAAGATCGAGGCCTTAGGCATATAAATCGTCACAAAAAAGAATATATTGGATAAAATGTTGTGCAGTAAATTACTTAAATAGTAAATGCAGGAGTACCGTACTACACTCAAAACTGAAATCGGTTTTCCTTCCGATCTGAGCCACTATATGTTGTCACATGCCAGGGGAAACATGCCAGAACATTGAGATGAACTTTCTAGGCCAACACAGGGACTGAATACTGAACCTCTGGTGTAACAAACCAAAGCCATGCTCACCGAGGCTCCCAAGTCATTTTAGGGTCCTAGGGGTAGGCCTATTTAGCCACGGGAGGTAAACAGATTAAAAGTTATCTGATAAAATACTTACAAACAAATGTTTCAACATGAGCACAGGGATCGCCACAAGTAGGACATCGAAGATTATTGCCTGAACCTTTCTTTCCTCCATTACCACCTTTAGAGTTATCTCCCGTTATTTTGGGTGGTTTTGAATCACCTCCATCTCCACCATCTGTAGTACTGCTGAGATAACGTCTCTGTATAGCGTAACGGGGAAGAGGTTTATAATACTCCTGGGTAGCGGGAGATAAGAGTCTTACATGATTCACACTTGATCGTACTGAAGCAGATTAATGATAAATAATATGAATATATTACGCTCTGGCTGATGTCAGATAAGGATGCATTTTAAGTGCAAGCCACATGTCACACACCAAATGATACAACATACAACCATAATAAATAATATCATTGAAATAGAAAGTGACAAAACACATAAACATACTGAATAATGTAGTGCTAGTAGAATAGAAAGGTTTTCAAGTCTGATTTGAAAGAAGGTCAAATTTGTTGGGTATTAAGGGGGAAAGTGTTCCATGAAAGTGCTGCTTTATATGAATGGGAAATGAGGTTTAACGTTCTACTGTTCTGCTCCGAGTGGGCTAATTAAGAGAAGACGGGCATATGCCATACAGTGTGCTATGAGAGAAATTTTGAAGACAGCAGCCCAACAGCCTACTCTTATAAAGGATCTTTTACTTGCACACCAATGTGTATACGGGACCTCAGTTTTTTGTCCCATCTTAATGACTAGACACAATCTTGATGAATTTTCTCGGCCAACCCTGGAAGCGACTCGCAACCTTCAGGCTAACAAGTCAGCATCTTACTCACTTAGCCACCGTGGCTCCCTTAATAAAATAAGACAACTTGTCTGTGACTTTAAACAGTAATAGAAAAAAGAAGGTGTATATAGACTTGATCAGTTATAGGGTGATTAGTTTGTAGATCGCCACCGGAATGTAATTTAATTTAGACTTGTGATCATCTATATGGTTTTAATAGTAAAATAAATTCTTATATAAATCAATACATGTAATTAATAAACCTATAAACTATAATTATTTATAGTGTCCTGTGGCACTATCCTTTATCATTACCAATAATGAGAGAGAGAGAGGGGGGGACAGAGAGAGAGAGGGACAAAGAGAGAGAGAGGGGGACAGAGAGAGAGGGACAGAGAGAGAGAGGGACAGAGAGAGAGAGGGACAAAGAGAGAGAGGGGGGGACAGAGAGAGAGGGGGGGACAGAGAGAGAGAGAGGGACAGAGAGAGAGAGAGGGACAGAGAGAGAGAGGGGGACAGAGAGAGGGACAGAGAGAGAGAGGAACAGAGAGAGAGAGAGGGGGACAGAGAGAGAGAGAGAGGGACAAAGAGAGAGAGGGGGGACAGAGAGAGAGAGGGACAAAGAGAGAGAGAGAGAGGGACAGAGAGAGAGGGACAGAGAGAGAGAGAGGGACAGAGAGAGAGAGGGACAGAGAGAGAGAGGGACAAAGAGAGAGAGGGGGACAGAGAGAGAGAGAGGGACAAAGAGAGAGAGAGAGGGACAGAGAGAGAGGGGGACAAAGAGAGAGAGAGGGACAGAGAGAGAGAGGGACAAAGAGAGAGAGGGGGACAGAGAGAGAGAGAGAGAGGGACAAAGAGAGAGAGGGGGGACAGAGAGAGAGAGGGACAAAGAGAGAGAGGGGGACAGAGAGAGAGAGAGAGGGACAAAGAGAGAGAGGGGGGACAGAGAGAGAGAGGGACAAAGAGAGAGAGGGGGACAGAGAGAGAGGGGGACAGAGAGAGAGGGACAGAGAGAGAGGGACAAAGAGAGAGAGAGAGGGACAGAGAGAGAGGGGGGACAGAGAGAGAGAGGGACAAAGAGAGAGAGGGGGGGGACAGAGAGAGAGAGGGACAAAGAGAGAGAGGGGGACAGAGAGAGAGAGAGAGGGACAAAGAGAGAGAGGGGGGACAGAGAGAGAGAGGGACAAAGAGAGAGAGAGAGAGGGACAGAGAGAGAGGGACAGAGAGAGAGAGAGAGGGACAGAGAGAGAGAGGGACAAAGAGAGAGAGAGAGAGGGACAGAGAGAGAGAGGGACAGAGAGAGGGGGACAGAGAGAGAGGGGGACAGAGAGAGAGGGACAGAGAGAGAGAGAGGAACAGAGAGAGAGAGAGGGACAAAGAGAGAGAGAGAGGGACAGAGAGAGAGAGGGACAAAGAGAGAGAGGGGGGGACAGAGAGAGAGAGAGGGGGACAGAGAGAGAGGGACAGAGAGAGGGACAGAGAGAGAGGGGGACAGAGAGAGAGAGGGACAAAGAGAGAGAGAGGGGGACAGAGAGAGGGGGACAGAGAGAGAGAGGGACAAAGAGAGAGGGACAGGGAGAGAGGGGGACAGAGAGAGAGGGACAGAGAGAGAGGGACAAAGAGAGAGAGAGAGGGACAGAGAGAGAGGGGGGACAGAGAGAGAGAGGGACAAAGAGAGAGAGGGGGGGACAGAGAGAGAGAGGGACAAAGAGAGAGAGGGGGGACAGAGAGAGAGAGGGACAAAGAGAGAGAGAGGGGGACAGAGAGAGAGGGACAAAGAGAGAGAGAGAGACACAGAGAGAGAGAGGGGGACAGAGAGAGAGAGAGAGGGACAAAGAGAGAGAGGGGGACAGAGAGAGAGAGAGGGACAAAGAGAGAGAGAGAGGGGGACAGAGAGAGAGGGGGACAAAGAGAGAGAGAGAGAGGGGGACAGAGAGAGAGAGGGACAGAGAGAGAGAGGGACAAAGAGAGAGAGAGAGGGACAGAGAGAGAGGGGGGACAGAGAGAGAGAGGGACAAAGAGAGAGAGAGGGGGACAGAGAGAGAGGGACAGAGAGAGGGGGACAGAGAGAGAGGGGGACAGAGAGAGAGGGACAGAGAGAGAGGAACAGAGAGAGAGAGGGGGACAGAGAGAGAGGGACAGAGAGAGAGAGGGGAACAGAGAGAGAGAGGGGGACACAGAGAGAGGGACAAAGAGAGAGGGACAGAGAGAGAGGGGGGGACAGAGAGAGAGGGACAGAGAGAGAGAGGGACAAAGAGAGAGAGAGGGGGACAGAGAGAGAGAGGGGGACAGAGAGAGAGGGGGGACAGAGAGAGAGGGACAGAGAGAGAGAGGGACAAAGAGAGAGAGAGGGGGACAGAGAGAGAGAGGGGGACAGAGAGAGAGAGGGGGACAGAGAGAGAGGGACAGAGAGAGAGAGGGGGGGACAGAGAGAGAGAGAGGGACAGAGAGAGAGAGAGAGGGGGACAGAGAGAGGGGAACAGAGAGAGAGGGGGGGACAGAGAGAGAGAGAGGGACAGAGAGAGAGAGAGGGGGACAGAGAGAGAGAGGGACAGAGAGAGAGGGACAAAGAGAGAGAGGGGGAGAGAGAGAGAGAGAGAGAGAGAGAGAGAGAGAGAGAGAGAGAGAGAGAGAGAGATGGGGTTTAAGTCCACTTGACACAAACAAGGTCATTTCGGGACTAATACATGTACATGGTTCAATATTTTTTCAATAATATGCTTGCGTGTAGGGGTCTTTATAGCAGTGGGAGGAAACCGGAGGACCTGGAGAAAACCCACAAGGTTGGACAGACGACCCTACTCCTTGTTACAAATAACTGGGGAATCGAAACCACGCCAGTTAACTCAATGACAGACCTTACAACACAGCACGCACGTGCTAACTATTCGCCCATTCAACCCAACGATTAATGATAGGGCTGGTCAATGATGACTATCGGGATAAAGCATACATGTACAGTAATACAAATAATGGAGAAAATATATCTCAGTACCTTGAGGTCTGGCTCGGACATGACCAAGAGCAAATCTACCACACCTAGCTGCTGACATTTTGCTTGAGTGTATTCCTTTCTGCAAAAATGTCAAATCTGAAATGAAAGAAATTCAGTCAATTCATTTACAGTTCAAGATAACTTGTTCAAATTTGTATTGGTCAGAATTCAATTAGTCTACCCAATTCCATAAGTTCAATCACCTGTTTAATAGTACCGGTAGTCTACATTTTACTGAAAATATATTTTTTTAATAAAGGCATAAAAGACAACTAAATGATGATTTTTGCATGGTCATTTTTTCATTCAAATCCACCTTTGTACCGGTATAGTTTTTTTAAACAAAGTAAAAGGTATATTTTCCTTTAGAAAATAAGCATTAAAATTACATCCTGTATTTTGTACAAAGTTGGAGCCATTTTGATCAAACATATGTAAGTCATTGAGATCACACTATGCTATAATATTTGAATAACTGACACATGGTCCATGTCAAAACTCACAGAGGAATCACCTTTGATCAGGTGACTATCTACTTGTAACCTAAAAATAAACACACTTGTATAGATATACTACTTCTGAATTTTATTAACATGCTACGTTTCAATACACATACAGGTATCGTTATCAAGCAAATAATGATTAATTTACAAAAACGTGGTGCAATATACATGTATAGATGAACACTTTGGAAGTCATAAAGCAGGTAAAAACAAACAATAAAATAAGTGTGTTTATTTTTAGTGAAATCTATTTCTATATGTCTTATAAGGATTAAACTTGTAATCTCAACAAAACACCTAATTTCAATAAAGGTGATCGAGTGTGCCTACTAATTCATCAACTCTGAAATTATTAATCCCTAATTCAGTACTTGACACTTTTCTAAGCTATTATTAATAGGCTATTAATCCAGATTTAAAGATACATTATGGGAGATTAGATAAAGAGTTGGCAGTTCTCGCTATAATAGTTAAAAAAATAGATAATGTAAAGGGAATATATTGCAAATTTCAGTCAAATTACTACACTCGGAGCCAAGAAAACCTCATTTTAAAAACACTGTAGCCTCGAATGTCATTGTTACCACTGTAACAATAATAAAGAAAGTCTTGATTATCCAATTTTGTGGTTAATCATCAAAGGGCGTTGAAAAGCAGATTGGATGTCATCGAGAGCTGATTATGGTCTTTTCATGTGAATTAATGTCTAATTAATAGTTTATAATAACATTTCAGGCCTAAAAAAAGACCTGCTATAGGCAGATATACCTCTAGCATAATGCATGTTTAATGGATTTTTCAAAAATAAGTTTCATTTTGAAGATCAGTATTTATTCATTTATTTAAAGTAGCTAAGTCTTTAAATCAATATCATCCACAGTCTTCAATATTGGTCAATTCAAATCAACATTGATGTTTTTATCTTACTGTGAAAAGTTACTGCCATTCAATTTGCACTTTTCGCGTATTTCGCTGAACGTTACTGATTAGAAATTACAGAAATAACAGAAACGATTGAATGTACAGTAAATTTCTATCAAAATCAAGTTATTTCCCCTGAACAATTAATTATTATTCATTGTCATTGTTGTAAACGACGGCAAAAATTACCGCCGCAGTGGTTGTACCTTGGTCTAGTGTCTGTGTGTTTTTAGTTTTAGCGTGTTTTGAATGATATGGCGGTGATTATTTGACACAAAACATTGCCTTAAACTCATTTTATTGAACCTCCTTTATTTTTTATACGAGTATCAAGAACTGAATATTGATATCAAAATTTTTCCGTAGTCGCCTATGATTCGGCTTTATCGATATTTTTCGCCAGGCCTACCTCCAACCCTTATTAAAAACAACTCAGACTACCAGAAAGCTGTCCTACTCCAAGTCGGGTTGAAGTCCTACAAAAGTACATACCCGGTACACGTATTTATGCAAGCTAGAACACTTACATGTACATGAAGACAGTGACACCGACAATAAACGTCTATTTTAAATACTGACACAATGACAAACGGTACTTTTGTATTCAGTCTCGCCCATAACTAACTGTATTTTTGACAGATTCTTGCTTATTTTTTTTATTTAAGAAGGAAGCCAGCCTTGAATAGCCTAATAATATTAAAATAGAAAGATATTTTCCATATTTTCTACTTCTCCCATTCGCCTGGTTAACATACCAAAGTTGGTTTTCTATGGCAGTTGTATTCCCTAGATGTCGTGTGTCTTCAAAACAAAGGTCACACTGGGTAATTCAACAATATAACGAATTTACGTAATGCATTTTCATAACGCTAGCTTGTCAGTCTTACCTTATTCAGCCATGTTTGTATTTTTATCGTGTCACTGCGTAGGTCACAATCATAAAGTGAAGGTCGTATATTAGGGACCAGTTATAATTAGGTCAAATTTAATACCGTAAAAGTTACATTTTAGAAAAAAAATATAGAGTTTACGTTATTTATCTACCATAAGAAGTATTCTATGTGACATTACGGCTAATATTTGAAACGTTATTAACTAAAGAGCTGAACTACACGGGGCGTTAAACAATTACCAACAATCATATAAATGATTTCTCCCACAAGATGTCAGCGCCCTGTTACTCTGTCTGATGAAAGTCGATAACATTTCCTATAATCCATATTTTTTCGGTAGATTAATCCTGTAAAACGTAACAATGGCTGGCAGGGGACGTGGACGAGGAAAGACAATGTCTTTTAATGTTGAAATGTTAGGATTTGGTCGAGGCGAAACGTTACCAGCTCCAGTTCAACAACCGCGACCAATTTATCCGGTACGATTGCACTAGTAATTCGACCAAAAATAATGATGTTGTATAACAGGCATTGCCTGAGTAAAGCGAAGATGTGATTGTTGTTTCTCAAGTGATACAAATAATGTTAAATAATTTTGTTTTTCCAAATTGATTTAAATTTAGATTTAGATCAAAATTTTTAGAAAAAAAAAAGAACAAAAAAGTGAGAATTGATTAGATGCGTCATAGAATTATTTCATTGAGATGCATAATCTTGCTTTGGCGAGATTTGGTAAGTTGGCATGCGCATTGCCAGTTTTGCCCAGTGTATATCATGTTCCGATCTGAATTTTTTTTAAACCAACAGTCTGACAGTTTCAGTTATGCTTCTGTATTACCGGTACCGGAAAAGAGCTTTGCTCAAGCACTGCATTTGGCGCAATGCTTTAGAGGTTTGCTCAATATTAATACATGTAGGTTGTCTGTTAAAATTGGCGCTGTTGCGATTATACAGTAGAATCTCTGTTTCTTTCCAGCACTTTAAGTTATGTTCGATACCACCAGGGCTCACACTGTCGGTCGCCAAATTCGCAATTTGCGATAAAATTATGAAAGTGGCTATTAAATTTTGTTTTTGGCGATAAAGTTTTGGGGTACTGACGATTCTTTTTTAGAATTGGCGAAAAAAAATCCTTAAAATTCTAATCGTATTTATCCTTGATTAACCATAGCGGCATACTATAAATCAATTAACTTGCTGATAATCCCGAACGTGTAATGAGTAATACTAAACAATTGTCTAGGATTAATGGTTTCAACTGATTGTTAATTGCCGATAATAACAGGCGACCCTACTCCTTGTCACGTACAACCAGGAAATCGAAACCACGCCAGTTGACTCAATGACAGACTTTATGATACAGTGCACACGTGCTAACCATTCAGCCATCCAACCCCCCAACTAGTTTACACACATTAGATATATTGATCATATTTAAAGGACGATTACATGTATGTATACTCAAAGGTAGCACTAACTAATAAGGTGGCTTTACATACAGTATTTACAGCTCTGATTAACAGAATGTCCTTATTTCTATTTATAGCCTCAGATCTACAAACCAGTTGCTTTAAAAGAAGGAGAGGATTACGAATATATGTTGGCATTAAAACAAGAATTTCGTGGAGCAGCGAAGAAGTCACCATTTTATTTGAATTATTCAGAAAAGAAAAGAGACGTGGAAAGATATTCAGATAAATATCAATTAGCTCAACAAGAAAATGAACGAAAATGGATTCCAGGTATTTTTCTTATAAATCAAATTTTATATAATGTTTCTGAAGACAGACGTTGGTTGACGGAGCTACAGTTGCGAAGTGGGTAAGACGCTGGCTCGCTAGCCTGGAGATTGTGTGTTCGATGCCTGCACTCACAGAGTAAGTTCATCGAGATTTTCCGACGTGGTGTCTAGTCATTCCGATGAGACGAAAAACCAAGGTCCCGTTTATACATTGACATGCGCGTAAAAGATGCCTTGGCAGTTGAAATTCGATATAAGAGTAGGCCATAGTGCCGCAGCCCGGGCAAAATTTTCATCATAGCACACTGTATGGCGTATGCCCGTCTTCATTATACCAGTCGGAGCAGAACAGTAGGAAATTAAACCCCATTTCATTTCAGGTGTTGGTTGGATGACTGAATCATCTAATGCGTGCACTGTAGATCATAAGATTTGTTGTTGAGTCAAGTGATGTGGTTTCGGTTATCACGTGTATGTGACAAGGAGTATTGTCGCCTGTCCAACCTTGTGGGTTTTCCTCCTACTGCTTAAGATCCCTACATGCACCAGTATAGTTCAAAATTTCGTTTTACTTGTCTTTACTACAGTAGGATCCGGAAGAGTTGTTATATACATGTAAGCTACGTACTGGTTAATGTGAGGGATTAGCCAATGTTGCGGTCTGTTACGGCGAGTTCTTGGCGTACCGTGTACGGAACTGTGTCTGAGGTCATAGGATCAAAAGCTGTTCGTATGACCTCTGATGTGACCCAACACTACAACCCATCAGATCTTCATAGAGTTGGAACAGAGTGTCTGGCATATAGTGGTCTTTTACCTGGATAATTAAAAGAGTTTCATAACTGTTTGGGTCATTAAACGGCTAAAATTTAAATATTTTGAGCCGAAACTTTCAACTAAAATTTAAATATTTTGAGCTGAAACTTTCAAACAATGTAGATAGATTAAAACAAATGATCTTATATCATGTATTGTTTTTTATTTTTTCCAGATTGGAGAATGTTTCCTGCTGAACTGAAGCCAACAACCAGAAGAAAAACTAAATCAAATATTAAACCGAATCTAAAGAAAGCGAGAGTTACAGAAAGAGATAAGGAAGACATTGTTAAAAAATTAGAGGTAAGGCAATATGTGACTTCAACTGGAACATTTGTTCATTGTTTATTGAGGTTCGATCTGATGCCATGGATATCAAATTTATTGGTAGATAGTCTCTATCACTGTTAACATGACTTATTAACTAATGGACCTAGGCCATTTACTAATGATAAATAGATGTGCGTCAGTGTTAAATAGATGTATGACAGTGTTAAATAGATGAGCAACAGTGTTAAATAGACAGTATTAAATAGGACAGTGTTAAATAGACTCCCGTGTTGGCTGAGAAAGTTCGTGATTTTTCGACATGGTACCCCCTTGTCAGTGGTGCAGAACAGAGGGCCCAATAAGGGAAAATGTATAGTCGTTTGAATGGGACGCAAAACCAAGGTCCCAACCCAAGTACACATTGGCATGTACATGGAAGATCCCCTGGCATTTGAAATTTGATGTAAGAGTAGGCTGTAGCACTGCTGTCTGGAAAAATTTCCCTCATAGCACACTCTATGGCGTATGCCCGTCTTCATTAGTCCATTTGATGCAGAACAGTAGGACGTTAAACCCAGTCTCCCTCATAACACAAACTTTATCATATGTCCGTCTTCATTAGCCCAGTCTGTGTAGAACAGTAGAATGCTAAACCCTATTTCAATTCATATATTGATGTAAGGGGAATTAACCACATTTCATTTCATTTATTTCAGATTTTAGAGACAACTGACAGTAAGACTGAAGATAAAGATGAAGATGAAGATGAGAAAGATGGAGAGGAGAAGAAGAAGAAAGATGAGGATGGTGAAGATGTTGTTGATGAGGAGGAAGTAATTGATGATGAACAATTAGAAGAGGTAAAATGGGCATTGCTAATTTATAATTTGGCCATACTTAAAAAAACATTCTGGTCCACAGACAGTTCTTTAAAAAGTCTGTTGCACGAAGGTTTTTTTTTATTTTTAATTTTTATTTTGTCAAATAAGTACGCTATGTTTATGTGTAGTTTAATGGTCGAGTGGGAAACATTAAATAATATATTGATATTGCACGAGTGCATCAGCCTGAGTGCTATATCGATATATTACACAATGTCTGGCACAAGACCATTAAATAACTTAAAATACAGAAACTATCCAGCATGTGCATTTCAATGAAATACGAAATGCAGGTCCAGTATAAATAATGTACGCTTGTCACATTGCCCAAGTGACAATATTTCAAATATTGGTACACCAACGTCAAAGGATGACGTCACATCTGTATTTTAATTACAAGTATTAACTTACTTTGATTGTACATAGTATATATTTCTGTATGAGTATTGTGCTTGAAAACGACAAGAGAATCACTGTAGAAACGTAGCTCCAATTATATATACAGTAATTGTTTTCCATAGAAATTTGTATTTATTTTAATGTGTTCAATTACTAAATGCCGTTAGCACAGTGTTAACTTATTGTTGTACGATCTACGGATGTTGTAGTTCTAGTCGGAAAGCTGCTTCTGTCATCTTCAATGATTTCAGTCATTTATTCTCAGTACTAGATAAAAATCATCCCGGATCTGATTAAAACACATTTCATTTTTTTATAGTTCAAATTTTCGTTTTACTTGTCTTCACAATGAAATGGTCTGTTATGGTGAGTTCTTGGTGTGGGATGCACTGAGCTGTGAATAAATCACCAGAAACGTTAATGCAGGTTGATTAATCAATGCCTAACGTCATAGGGTCAAAAGCCGCTAGTATGACTCTGACACGACCTCCCACTACAACTGGTCCGATCTTCATGTAGTGTAGGCCATCGGAATTATAAAAAACAGAACGAAATATAGATCTGTATTTTAATCAGATCGGTTTACGATTGTCCAGTTACATTTATGGCTGTCAATTACATTTATCGAGAGAGAGAGAGAGAGAGAGAGAAATGGGGTTTAACGTCCACTCGACACAAACTAGGTCATTTCGGGACTAACATATGGTTTAATTTTATTTACATAATTCACTTGCGCGTAGGGGTCTTTAGCAGTGGGAGGAAACCGGAGGCCCCGGAGAAAACCCACGAGGTTGGACAGGCGACCCTACTCCTTGCCACGTACAACCGGGGATTCGAAACCACGCCAGTCGACTCAATGACAGACTTTATGATACAGCGCGCGCACGCTAACCATTCAGCCATCCAACCCCCACTAACATTTATCGAACTTGTGTACTTGATAACAGAGGCTTTTGAACTCTTCCCCAAAAATGTTTACTACATTTGTCTTGTTTATATTTATTGTCCAGGAGACAGATTATGGTCAAAGTTATTTTGATAATGGTGAGGGTTTCGGAGATGATGACGACGATGGTGATGAGGGTCCAGTTTACTGAAGATACAGTTCTGTGTCAGGGGAGATAATTACAAAATACGTAATTAGTCTGTACTCTGAATCCAGTAAATTGTCTCGGATAGGACTGAGATTTTACTTGAGTTTAAAAAAGAGAGATTCCGTCACCGAGTTACTGCAGATTACATGTTGAGTGAAGTACTTTGCGTGTTAAGATTCTTGATTATCAAAAATGTTGAATGGCTGGTTATCTTTTTCAAGTTGACTGTTCACAATTCACAGACCATGTTTCTTATTCCTATCGCAGCCAGAACTTGACAGATGGTTATGATCGTGAGCTATGATAATACTATTGTGAGAGATGAAAATACTCTTGTGAGCTTTGATAATATTATTGTGAGCTATGATAATACTATTGTGAGAGATGAAAATACTCTTGTGAGCTATAATATGATTGACAGCTATGGTAATACTATTGTGAGCTATGACTACCATACTATTGTGAGCTCTGATAATACTATTGTGAGCTATAATATGATTGAGAGCTATGGTAATACTATTGTGAGATATGACTACTATTGTGAGCTATGGTAATACTATGGTGAGCTATGACTACTATTGTGAGCTCTGATAATACTATTGTGAGCTATGGTAATACTATGGTGAGCTATGACTACTATTGTGAGCTCTGATAATACTATTGTGAGCTATAATATGATTAAGAGCTACGCTTGTGAGCTATGATAAAGGTTACCAATCTGAATAGGGTTACCGGTAATAACAATATTTGTTTCCAAGCTCCATTGTTGTTGATTTTGATATTATACATTTGTTATTTATTAAATATTTACAAATAATTGAGTCATCATTCTTTATTTACTTCACCTTTCATCTTATCAACTAAGACCTGGTGTAGATCAAATCTGTATGGCATAGGCCCATTTTCATTAACCCAGTTGGTGCAGAAAAGTAAGACATTAACCCGTTAAGCGTGGTGTTTTTAAAACGTTAACTACCCCCTATTGTGTACTATATTCTAAGAATAGGTTGGGGAAAATACCTCCAAGGCGTTATATTACACCCTACACACAGTGAGTAGCAGTTGTCCTGGACGCTATATAACGACCTACGCACTTAACGGGTTAAACCCAATTTCATTTTGACTAAGACCATAATCCATAGTCAGTACTGAGGGTTGGATGGCCGAATGGTTAACACATGCGCGTTGTATCATTAGGTCTGTCATTGAATCAACTGGCGTGGGTTTTCTCTGGTCTCCTCCCACTGCTAAAGATCCATATGTTAGTCCCAAAATGACATAGTTTGGGTTGAGTTAAGTTAAACCCTATTTTCTCTTCATAGTCAGTAGAATCTGTAACCTGCTTGTCTCTGTGGAGTAAAAGTAGTAACCTCCCTTTGCCTACTGTTTTGAAGCTGATTTTTCAATTGGTGTAACATGATTTTTGACTAAAACAATGGAAATTATGTGCTGTGGTCCAAATCTGCTAACTCTCTTTCCAACCTCATTGAGCTATCAGTTGACATGGTGTCCTTTAAAATAAGAAATGGGAGATGCTAATTGTAGGCCAGTCGGGGAGGTTCGGGAATTTCCAAAGTCCACAATGGCAGCTTTATATATACGAGTATTTTGGAGAATACTAACACTAACCCTTTTAAGAGGAGTAAAAGGTAAATTGGATCTTAGTTGTCTTCATTAGCCTGTTTGGTGCCATCCTCGATATCCCCAGTGGTCTCATTCCATTCCACTCCTGGAGCCACGGTGGCTAAGTGAGTAAGACGCCGGTTCAATAGTCAGGAGGTCGTGGGTTCGCTCCCTGTTTTGGTCGAGAAAATTCATGTAAAAGATTCCTTGACAGTTGGAATTTGATATAAGAGTACGCTGTAGCGCCACTGTCCGGGCAAATTTCCCTCATAGCACACTGTATGGCGTATGCCCATCTTCATTAGCCCAGTTGTAGCAGAAAAGTAGGGCGTTTAACCCCATTTCATTTCCATTCCACTTCACTAATCTCTGGGTTCATCCATGGGGAGACACGTATTCAAATTATCTGCCCTTGATGACTGTGCTACTTTTATTGACCGATCCAAAAAATTTGTTAAATACAAAGGAAATTGACAAAGGGAAGTAACTTATCTTGTTGCAGCAAACAAGCAGCCATATTTTTGTGAACATAAGCAAATAGACTAAGACTGGGCAAAAAATTTGAATACGTGAATACCCCATGGATGAACCCAGGGTCCAGGGTATAGTGGAGTAGAACGGAATGAGACCATTGGGGACACAGAGGATGGTTTGGTGCAGGAAAGTAGGACGTTAAAACTCCATTTTATGAAAAATCATGAAAGTTGTTCATAAAAGATATACCAAACAACTACAATATTTTAATTTTTTTATTTTAAGCTGCCTGGCCCAATATTTCACATAAAAAGTTCTTAAGAAAATTCTCATCACCTTGGTAATCACATGTTAGAGGATGATAAAATTAAAACAATGTTTGATGGAAATTAATGAAGGTGATACAATTAAAACAATGTTTGAATTTAATTAATGTAGATGATAAAATCAAAACAGTCACCATGGTGATCACATGTTAGAGAATGATATAATTAAAACAATCACCATGGTGATAACATGTTAGAGATGATAAAATTAAAACAATCACCATGGTGATCATATGTTAGAGGATGAAAAAATCAAAACAATCACCATGGTGATCACATGTTAGAGGATGATAAAATCAAAATAATCACCATGGTGATCATGTTAGAGATGATAAAATTTAAACAATCACCATGGTGATCACATGTTAGAGATGATAAAATTTAAACAATCACCATGGTGATCACATGTTAGAGATGATGGAATTAAAACAATGTTTGAAGGTAAATGGATCCGGAGATGATTATGTCACTTTTTACCCCAAAATCAAGAATTCATACTCAGGCAGGAAACAGATGCTAAAGATTATAAACTTAAATTTACAAAATCTAATTTAAACATTACTGATACAATTATCACAAACTTTCACAATCTGTATCAGTACTTTAACTTCTAACATTCTCATATTCAATTTAAAGTTATCAGTACCTGGATTGTGTTACCTGCTTCAATAATATCAACGGAAAATATCTGAGTTACTAGAAATAAATTAAAATCATTAAGGCCACACCAATTTAAATGTTAGTTCTTCGGGACCAATTATGAAAAGTCTACGAAATACATGATAAAGACAAGAAAACTCTTGTAAAAAGTAATTTTTATTCTATTTGGGTACTAAAGGCTACTTAAACTATTTATGAAAAGTCTGGTTCCTATTTCTTGAAAAAAAGCAAACAACTTTGCTTGGCTCCAAATTTTGAAAGTTTAAGGAAACAAAAAAAAAAACAAAAAACATATTGGCAGATAGCATTTACAGCCTATCACAATGCTAGGCATTAAAATCCAGAAAAACAAAAATCAAATTGGTTTGGCCTAATCTATTGATTATGACAGATATGAGTATTGCTTCTTGCTGCAAGACAAACCTCCGTGATGTTGACAACTGTTGACTTTTTATATTTTATAAACAACCACTAAACATATTTGAAGTGATGAAGAGATTTGTCCATGTCACCACTTCCATTACTATCTGCCGCACAAATTTGGAAGAGGGATCCCTGGTGTGCACAAGCTATAGCAGAAATAAAACGAAATGGGGTTTAATGTTCTACTGTTCTGCACCAAGTAACAATAGTAGAATAAAGTGAACAGTGTTTAGTAAATCACACGGACGTACATCTACACAAATAAACTAAACTAACAAATAAATAAATATAACAGATCAAGTTACTATTGAATGTCAAAACAAGAAAAATATATAATTGTAAACTTTCACTAACAAGAAATAAAATAATAAAATCTCAATATAACTACACAAACCTGGTTCATTTTCAGATAAAAGTAACAAAGCAGGGCTTTCACTTCAGAATATTGCCAGTCTGTCAATGTATGGCATATTTTGTTTACCAGTACCTTGGATTAACAAAACATTTTTTCCCAAAAATATCCCAATTTTTAGTATTATCCCAACTTTTAAATAGTAGAATATTGTGTATCAAGGATAAATTCTTTAAAATTTCACTGTCAGAGAGAAATTGAGTTTTATGTCCACTCAACACAAACTAGAACATTTTGGAACTAACATATGGTTCAATTTTATTTCAATAATTTGCTTGCATGTAGCAGTGGGATGAAACTGGAGGACCTGGAGAAAACCCAAAAGAATTGACAGGCGACCCTACTCCTTGTAATGTACAAGCAGGGAAAAAAAAACCACGTCACTTGACTAAATGACAGACCTTATGATTTTCACTGTCAGTCAAGAATGGCAAATATTACTGAAACAAGAGCCCTGTAAACAAACTATACCGGTAATTACAAATATGGTCCAAATAAAACAAAACATGAAACAAATCCACATCTCTGGGCTGAATCCACCTCATTACTTTATTCATTTCTTATAATAAACACTAAACAAATCATTATCTCCCTTTGTGGCATTTCATTAAAACTACTGATTGTCATTTGCATTTTTCGACCAACATATAATCTCTTGCAGCATAATCCAATCAAAAATGAACTCAAATTTATTATTTAACATTTAATAAAGAAAATAAAATCCAAGATAGAATTCAATTGGATAAAAAAAAGATGCCCACCAAAAGATTACCCAACACTTATAGGTGGCACTAGCATGTTCATATCATTTGCAGAGGAGATACTAAATTGTCAGTCCAGAACGTCCCGAATTGATAGACACGCGGAATTTAGTCCAGTCACAGTTCTATCGTTCCCGACAACAGATGTGGTCTGAGTAGACTCGTGACACAATTAAACACAACAAATAAATTTACGATCTCATAATTGATTAAAATACTTTCTTATGTTGTCACTATTTTTGAGATTGAGAGGATTCAATTCCGGAACGTCCAATTGAGTACCCCTAGTAAATACTGAACTAACTGATATTCCTTTTAGAGATTCGACTTTAACAACATTGTACTTGACAAAACAACATATGCAACCCTTTATCGTATGAAATAATGTTTGTGAGCCAGAAAACATGAAATCTTTTCTCTCTGTCTCAGGGCTTTTTTCTTTAAAATAAATAAAGCAATGATCTACAATTGATGTATGTCCTTGTCATTCACAGTGAATTGAGTGGTTTTGAAGATAATGTGGTGGTTTTGAACATGACATGGTTTTGAAGATGAAGTCATGACCAGTGAACACTACTGGTAGATAGAATGATTAATGAATGGATTTCAATGAAATTCAGACAAAATATACAAATTAATATAAATATATTTAAAATATTCACATCTTTTTCAGCATAAGTACTGATACAATAAAACAATTATGATGAATTTATGATATGAGAGTTTACAATGGTACAATTTTACCTTCAGCAATGTACAAAATTAAATAAGAAAATTATATTAAATAAAACAAAACAAACTTATGACTAGATATCTTTTGAGCAAATACTGATTCCTAATTTAATGCACCAATAGATTCTAAAAATAACAAAACACATACCTGTCATGCAAATAACAAATATATGTCCAATATTTTAGTATATCAAAGTTTACACAATGGACCTAATCTATTATAAAAAGATCACGATTTCTACAAAAGACACAAGGTTTCCATCATTATCGATTTGGAAATGTCCAGGTGTAACGCTATTAGTCTATGAAATAACTAACACCTTAGCATACATCTGTAAGAATGTCTAATTTAGAATTTTTCAGCAAAGATTATATATTCATATACTAAAATACAACACAAATTAGTAAAGATGTGTATTGTAAAAATTCAGCTATTAAAAATACCTTTGCCACAAAATAAAACCAGCAGAAAATTCACAAATATAAAATGGACCTTCTCCAATTTGTAATACTATTAATAGGTTAAACGAAATATTATATACAAATTAGATAGACTTTTATGAATGAATATCCCTGGCTTCACACGATTTGGTCATCCCTATGATCCCTGTTCAATATTATGAATTGTCCATCGTCCATCCATATTATGAATTGTCCATCCATATTTACGGACATGTGTAATACAATAATGTATAAATATCAATTTTGAACAAATACAAGTAGGCAGGATGTATTTAAGATGATTTCTTTTAAACTGGCAGGGTATAAACATCTTTATGATGCAGTTGAGCAGAAACAGAAAAATATCCAACAGATAAATGTATTAAGATGAAGTCCCTTTACAAAACTTTCCCCATAATATGTTCAGGCACAGTTTTGAAATTTGGTCTTCTGAAATGATCACCAATGAATCTGATTTAGTGATTACTCCCTTATAATGATCACATAACTGTTTATCACAACACTATGAAAACCCAGATTTTGTAGAAAATACTATAATCGATCCTAATGGGTAACCAAAACCACTTCTCTTCAAGGCTGAGAATTTGAACATAGTGGATTCACTGCGTTGGAAACTGAAGAATTTCAACAATGACCTGTTTTCCTCCTATCAATAACTGGTAATGAACCTGCTCCTTGTACAGTATTTCAAGCAAAAGACCCGTTTCATCATAATATTAACAGATAAAGTAGTTTCAGATATTTCTATTTCAGTCTGTAGATAAAGCGAATGGTGCAGAGACTGGTGTTGGAGATCTTGGATGATCTGCAACTGGAATTCTACTTTCTATTTTTAAACAATCGCCAACATTTTTACTACTAAACTGCATTTTCTTTTCAGTGTGTGCAAAATCTTTGCTTAATTCTTTTGTTTGTGCCACAGGAATCTCACTTCGAACATCTTTCCTACGACGATGGAGAATAGGTGATGTCATCTCTGTGCCAAAAGGAGCTGTTACTTTATAACTTGTAGGGGAGGGAGATGATGAATTTGGGGTCAATTGTGGGTCGGCTATAATGGGGCTCATTGGTCTGGAATTTGGACCTGAACGTCTGCTGCTGGGACTTGGGGAGCGATTTGATCGCCACGTACCGGGGTTACTAGATACCTTTATTGGTGATAAATTCCTTTTTCTCAGGTGACTGTCCAAAAACTTATTACTTGGTACTTGTGAACGGTCATGAGACAAAGCTGAATTATATGAAGCAATGTATTCCTCCAGTAGCTGTGTTTTAATTGGACTACGGGCTGAGCCGTGTGTCGATTGAGCAGGCGAGGTATCTTTAGAATCATGTTCTTGACTGTGGCTGTAACTATGACTATTATAACCATGGCCGTAGCGATTATGATCATGTCTGTCATCATAACTGTAGGAATGCAGAGGTGAAGTATTTCTGGATCTTTCTCGCTGCTGTGTATCACGCTGAGCCTCGACTATATAGCTACTGCGTTGAGGTTCTGTGTATCTCCTGCCCAAGACACGACGTTGACCATCACCCGAATTACTTGTCTCTGAAAGACGTCTAGATGGTCGTTCTGTTGGTCTTGCAACCATTGAGTATACTGTAGTGCTCTGATTAGCGTTGATCATATTGCGATTATACAACTGTCTTTCAAAACTGTCAGCTTCATTTACTCCTTGATTATCCCGATGCGACTCACGATTATTTTGGGTGGATCGTGTAAAACTGTCAGGAGAAGTTGGACTGACTGGTTGTCGGAATGGTGGTCGATCTTTTACATCTGGTGAGGCACCAGTATTTTGTGATTCCAATCTCTGTATTAAAAATATACCTTTTTTCAAAATCAAGTAAATAAAAATGGAAGGGAATGGAGTTTAATGTCTCTCTTCAGGATTAAGTTGGGAGCCACGTTGGCTAGGCAGGTAAGACGTTGGCTCTCTAACCTGGAGGTCGGGTGTTCGATCCCTTCTTTGGATCGAGAAAGTTCATCCCGATTTTCTGGTGTAGTTCCCCCTTGACAGTGGTACAGAACAGAGGGCCTGGCAAGGGACAACGTATAATCCTTCGGATGGCACGAAAGCCTAGGACCGTGTACACAATGGTGTGCACATAAAAGATCCCTTGGCAGTTGGAATTCGATATAAGAGTAGGCCATAGTGCCGCTGTCCGGGCAAAATTCCTCTCATAGCACACTGTATGACGTATGCCCATCTCCATTAGCCCAGCCAGGATTAGAACATAGATTAAGACAGTCAATCAAGGCAGATTAAGTAGTGGATCAATTATGCTAGATGTTTAGCATGTTCAAGGGTTGATCACTTAAATACGACTATTGCGATTAATAATAATTATACCATCAGTACAGTCAATATTTCTGAATATTCACCATATTGTGACATCCGATTGGGTATATTCCCTGTCGAACGTTTGCCAAATTGCGTAGGACATGTTCAACGTATTTGGGGGAAACAGCATCCATAGTCTCTTCAACACAATACTTTTGAGATATGTCCAATTCTATTTCAAACTGGGGACGAGAATTTTGCATAGGGGGTTTAGCCTTTTATGGGCACACTGATATGCACCGAACTGACCTCTGGCTTTTTGTTAGTACCTGACGGACAACTAGGCACATTTTACAGGTCAGCCTCACATGCACCACCCGGAAGGTCTTGGACATTTTTAAGTCCCAAACCTGACCAGTGTTGATCAGTGATAGAGAAAAGTAGATAGTGTCTGGCTTAAATTAACGCAAGTATCAGGTGAAGGTCTCGGGTTTGCTCCCGGTGTTGGCCGAGAAAGTTCCTCTGGGTTTTCCCCTCATCAGTGATGCAGATGGAGGACCTGACAAGGAACAGTGTCTAATCGTTCAGATGGGATGAAAAACCCAAGGTCCTGCGTACACTTAGCCACGCACATCAAAGTCGATATTTTAGCCCGTTTCGTTAAAAACTCACCTTTAAAGCAAGTCTTCGTTTAAACTCCCATTTAGCTTTTTCTGCTGCTACCCATTCTGGTACATCAGGTATAGCGGTTGCCAGGGTAAACTTTGATATTAATAACAGATGCTGGAAAATACAACAAAATAACAGTCCATAAATTTTAAAGGAGATACTCAATTGAACGTTCTGGAATGGAATTCTCTCAAGCCCGAAAATAGTGACAATCTAGTGGAGAGAGGGATTTGGGACTGTAACTCATGCACTGTCTAAATAACAACATACCTCAATCAAGCAGGACAGCTGAAACATATTTGTTCTCTTTAATTATATCATAATTCTACTCACACCACCCACTCAACACAAACATGGTTCAATTTTATTTCAACAACAATAACCTGTAAACATTACTTACCTCTACAACAACAATAACCTGTAAGGATTGCCTACCTCTACAACAACAATAACCTGTAAGGATTGTCTACCTCTATATCAACAATAACCTGTAAGGATTGTCTACCTCTATATCAACAATAACCTGTAAGGATTGCTTACCTCTACAACAACAATGATCAATATTGTAGACGCTACAGAGAGACTGGGAATTAATCTGGGTAATAAACCTGATGTTCCTACTAGAGCACAGTTCACTATTACAGCTATAACACCCATTATTTCCATGACATCCTATAATAACAAATAATAGTTATAACACCCATTATTTCCATGACATCCTATAATAAACAAATAATAGTTATAACACCCATTATTTCCATGACATCCTATAATAACAAATAATAGTTATAACACCCATTATTTCCATGACATCCTTTAATAAACAAATAATAGTTATAACACCCATTATTTCCATGACATCCTTTAATAAACAAATAATAATTACAACTACCATTAATTCCATGACATCCTATTATAAACAAAAAATAATTATAACACCCATTAATTCCATGACATCCTATATTAAACAAATAATAATCATAACACCCATTAATTCCATGACATCCTATTATAAACAAATAATAATCATAACACCCATTAATTCCATGACATCCTATTATAAACAAATAATAATTATAACACCAATTAATTCCATTACATCCTATAATAAACAAATAATAATTAAAACACCCATTAATTCCATTACATCCCTTAATATACAATAATAATTACAACACCCATTAATTCCATTACATCCTATAATATACAAATAATTTATATAACATTTAAGGCCTAAATAAAGACCTGCAATAGGCAGAATTATCTCTTGCATAATGTATGTTTAATAACACAACAGATTTATACAGGTATCAATTACTAGTTGATATATGATGGTACTCTCATCTTTATTAGGCAAGAATAAACACCACATGTATTTGTATATAAACCAGTAATTGTTATTCATATAAATGTGTTATTACCAAGAAATTACTAAAATACCATTAAAGAAGCCATTACTTACCTGCCATATTCCAATGGTTGAAACTCGTTTACCGAACGGTCTTTGATGATTGGTACATAATTTAAAGGCATCGCTGCGTATTTCTATTATGTTATTTATGAAGGCACATAAAGCTGCGAGAGGAAAAGCTGAGGAAAAGAGTGTCACATAACCAAACTGTATAACCATTTCCATATAATCTTCCCAGGTATCTTCATACTATAAAATATCAAAAATAAAAACATACAAAAAACTTCTTAATAATTAACTATTAATCCAACGATACAACAGCATAGCCGATATCAAGTATGTTCGTTAAATGGGCGATACTAAACACAGACAATATCATGTATGTTCGTTAAATCGGCAATACTAAACACAGCCAATATCATGTAGGTTAATTAAATGGGCCATATCAAGCACAGCCGATATTATGTATGTTCGTTGAATGGGCGATAGTCGATATCAAGTACGTTAGTTGAATGGGCAATATTAGGCATAGCCAATATCAAGTATGTTCGTTGAATGGGCGATATCAACAGGGCTGCCGACAACCAGTATCGCAACGCAATTTGTGATACATATTTTGTGCTGCTAATCAACTGCGAAAAATCACCGAGAGACCTTGATATCAAGCATAGTCGATATTAAGAATGTTCGTGAATTGGTGATATCAAGCAAAGCCGATACAAAGTATTTTCGTTGAGAGAGAGAGAGAAATAGGGTTTAATGTCCACTCGACAACAAACTAGGTCATTTCGGGACTAAAACATGGTTCAATTTTATTTCAATAATACGCTTATGACAAATAAAACAAAATTTTGAACTATAAAAAACGAAACGAAATAGGATCTGTGTGTTAATCAGATTGGAAATCTTACTGGTTTCATGGCACTTTCAACTTCTGCTTGAGTTAAAACTGGACCAGTATTTTTCGTTTCTGCTTTGTCTTGCTTTGTCTGCTCTTTGCCTTCCTGGTCCGTTCCAATCGTCATTCCTGTACCCTCGCTAGGAGGGGGTGGAGTTTTTTCCCGTTTCTGTTCCGTCATTTCTTTTACTTGCTGATCAAGACTACCAGGTGACATCTCACCCGCCATCTTGTATCCAAATTTTAGCAGACGACCCTTCCATATAAGGTAAGGTAGCAAAACTTCTTTGATATTGCCAATAACTTGACGAGTAATTAAAATGGCTGCCAATTGCTGAAAGAAGTTAAAATAATATTTCAAAACTAAGGCAACAACATACAAGGATATAGAGTAAAGATACTAGAGCAAGGATGCTGTACAGGATATTGAAGAAGGATATAGATTAAGAATACAAAGGAAGGATATTAGACACCATATAGAGGAAGAATACTAAACATGATATAGAGTGAGGGTACTAGCCAGTGTAGAGTAAGGATACTAGCCAGTGTAGAGTAAGGGCATGGAGTAAGGATACAAGACAGGGTATAGAGGAAGGATACTAGACAGGGTATAGAGGAAGGATACTAGACAGGATATAGAGTTAGGATACCAGACAGGGTATAGAGTAAGGATACAAGACAGGGTATAGAGGAAGGATACTAGACAGGGCATAGAGTAAGGATACAAGACAGGGTATAGAGGAAGGATACTAGACAGGATATAGAGTAAGGATACTAGACAGGGTATAGAGTAAGGATACTAGACAGGATAGAGAGTAAGGATACTAGCCAGTGTATAGAGTAAGGATATAGAGTAAGGATACTAGATGGGATATAGAGGAAGGATACTAGACAGGGCATAGAGTAAGGATACAAGACAGGATATAGAGTAAGGATACTAGACAGGGTATAGAGGAAGGATACTAGACAGGGCATAGAGTAAGGATACAAGACAGGGTATAGAGGAAGGATACTAGACAGGATATAGAGTAAGGATACTAGACAGGGTATAGAGTAAGGATACTAGACAGGATAGAGAGTAAGGATAGAGAGTAAGGATACCAGACAGGGTATAGAGTAAGGATACCAGACAGGGTATAGAGTAAGGATACTAGCCAGTGTATAGAGTAAGGATACTAGATGGGATATAGAGTAAGGATCGAAGCTAGAATATAGAGTAAGCATAGTAGCTAGGGTATCAAGTAAGGATACTAGACAGGATATCAAGTAAGGAGAGAGTAAGGATTCTATAAAAAAAACACTTACATCTCGTAATCTGTTCATATCTTGTAAATAAAACGCAATATAAAACAACGAGAGGAAGGAATTCACAAACTGAAACTAGAAAAAGATAACAAGGTAAATTGATTATATATGTATAAATTATAATATATTTTCTATCAGTAGTAGATGCATGGTAGCATGAATGAATGGTTAGTTAGAATAAATTATTGGGGCTCATGCTTTCCAGCTAAAATGTCTACCTGTCATAATCGAGTTGCTAAGTTCAAGATTTGTTCAATGTCAAGGTTTCAGTAGAGGTCGCTATATGTGTTAGTGTCACAACTTCTGATTAGACGCCACTGTTCATGTATCTGCAGTAAAGGGAGAAAACGTAGCTATAAGTTTGGGAATTGCAAAGTAATCTAGCAATGTCCAGCTGTTGTAAAACTCGCAGTCGTTGCTTCAGGACCATGGGGCAAGCCGTGCCCTAAACATAGGATGCCATACTTACCAATACTAGTTTAATAATAAGAGCTGTTTCATACGTGTGTTCTAATCTGTAGTTCTCTACAAATAAAAATTATATTTTTAAAAATGAAATGAAATGGGTTTTAATACATGTAACGTCCTACTGTTCTGCACTGACTGGGCTAATGAAGATGGGCATATGCTACAAGGTAAACTTTTCTCATACAATGGCACGACGACCTACTCTTATATCGATATTTTACATGCACACTAATGTGTACACTGGAACTCGGTAAACTTTGCTCAGACAGTGGCACTACGGCCTAATCTTATATCGAATTCCAACTTAAAAGGGATCTTTTACATGCACACGGGACCTTGGTTTTCTGTACCATCTGAATGACTAGACATTTGTCCTTGCCAGCTGTCCTCTCCATCCTGCACCAGTGACAAGGGGAAACTACGCCGGACTACCAAAACGTACATGTACATATAAACTTACAGGTTTCTGAATAGCCATGATGTTATCTGTTGAATTTAATTTTTAATAATATTCAAACTGACATTGATTTAACCTACCTTGGTCATTTAACCAATGAGCAATCTTCTTATATATATCATCCAGAACACCTATCGACAACGCCAGCATTATTTTAGGAAATATACGAACAAAATTAGGAATGTCACCAGAAAGAACGAGATTATTTATCCATTCTTGTAATTCAAAAATCAACAACATAACAACGAAAACAACAAGTAGGCATGTTGATATGACAGGAACGGTTACTAGGTAACGGAACAGGTTACGTTTCCATGACGGAAATTCAAAACACAGTCGATCTGTTACAGGATTCCGGACGAGATCACCCTTTAATAGAAACAATGATAACATTTAGTAATTTTTAATCCCTTGTAAGCTACAATATTGTCGAAGTTTATTTTCTAATCTAAAGGGAAATGATTTTTTGCACCGACTGGGCTAATGAAGATGGGCATACGGCATGCATTGTGCTATGATGGAAATTTTGCCTGGACAGTGGCGCTAATAATCTGATTAAAACACAGATCCTATTTCGTTTTGTTTTTTATAGTTCAAAATTTCATTTTACTTGTCTTTACTACACTAGGATCTGGAAGAGTTGTTATATAACCCGCGTTCTGGATGATGTGAGGGATTAGCTAATGAAATGGTCTGTTACGACATGTTTTTGGCATGAGGTGCACGGAACTGTGGTTAACCCACTAGAAACATCAATGCTGATTGGTTAATTGAATGTGTGATATCATAGGGTCAAAAGCCGCTCGTATGACCTGTCAGATCTTCATGTAGTCGAGGCAATATTAAAAAACGAAACGAAATTTAGATCTGTATTTTAATCAGATTGCGGCACTACGGCCTACACTTCGAATTCCAAGAGTTCTTTTACATGCATGTCCATGTGTACACAGGACCTCTGAACAACTACACACTGTTCCGTTCCAGGCCCTTTATTCTGCACCGGTGAGAAGTGGAAATCAGGTTAGAATACTTCCAGGGAACTTTCTCCACCAAAACTGGGATCAATCCATGGATGGGCTATACTATATACCCAAAACACCGGAAAACACTGAAAAACAACGGGAAAACTACCGGAAAACACCATGTTATACTGAAAACCGGAAAACACTGGAAAAACACTAAATACTGGAAAAACACTAAATACCGGAAAACACACTAAACACCGGAAAACACCCTAAATAGGTAACCTGGAGAAGGGCTATACTATAAACCAGAAACTAACCCTAACCCAGGCACACAGAGGACCAGGCTCTGGGTTACCTATTTAGGGTATTTTCCGGTATTTAGTGTGTTTTCCGGTGTTATATTCAGTATAACATGGTGTTTTCCGGTAGTTTTCCTGTTGTTTTCGGTGTTTTCTGGTATATAGTATTGTTGCCATGGATCTCCTGGTTAGTGAGCTAGCACCTTTCTAATTTTATGACATAAAACGTTTTCCAGACGGTCAAATCAGTGTCTGTCAATCAGCCAAGAGTGGCAAATATGACTGAATTAAGAGGCCTGATACAAAGTCAGTGAGAAATGGGGTGGAACAATAACTCAATACAAACTAGGTCATTTTGGGACTAACATATGGTACAATTTTATTCCAATATACAGGGGTATTTAGCAATGGGAGGACACAGAGAAAACCCATGAGGTTAGGTAAGCGACGATACTCCTTGTCTCAATGAAAGATCTTAAACCGCATATGTTATACCACAGTGTTGTAAAAATCCACTAGTCCCGGGCTAGTGATCTTTCACTGGTGATTTTTTTATGGTTTGTGAATTAGACCTTTTGGTCACCGAATCCATGTTGTGATACAAACCTTAAAGAGTGGTCTTGGATCTTCTAATAGATCATCTTGCCTGTCCAATGTTCCCCATTTATACGCCAACTCGGAACTTGTCCGCTTCCAATGTTCCAGAAACAACGTGGCCCACATAACATTAACAACAGCGAAAATAACAAAAGTAACATCATCAACACTCTGTAAAAATAGAAATAAATTTAATTAAACAAATAAATAAATATAAATAAAAACAAATTTAAAAAAACAAATGAATGACAAAACAATGGCCTTTACACATTTAATAGAACTGTTACTGCTTTCTGGGAATTAAGTTCGAATTAAGACCTGTTTATTGTGAACAGCCAATTAACCCATAAAATGAGTGGATGCTACCTGAATGGATAAAAAATTGTCATAGCGCTAAACTCTGGTCAATTGAGCACTCATATGTCAGACTAGCCTTGCTTGCCAGACAGGCACAAAATCAAGACAAGTAGCTTCGTATAATCTTATCGACATGTAATGTCAAGGTTCAATGACTAAATATGCATTAAATTTTATTGTTCTATTATTTGACATTCATCATTTGTTGTAAACAATATAAACCTCTGTTGACAACTATGTATATCATTCTATAACGACAATCAGAAGTGGACACGCCTTCTACATTCTAACAGTCTGTTAATTCTATAGTTGTAAACTGGAGAACATACCTTTTCCAGTATCTGTCGATGAAACGAAGACAGTGATTTATTCAGGAATATTGACATGAGCTTGAAGCCGATAAATGAATTAAATATGGAAAACGTACCCATTTTTTTTGTAATTATTAATATTAATTTATTCAGAATACAATATGCTACATCAAAAAATATCAAAAACTATTTTTCCTGAAGTCTGGCTATATTAAAGGGAATGGGAGCTTAATTCTAGTCTCTGGACAGTTCGTTTCAAAATGGATTAAGAACCCTGCCATGGGACGCCCCACTGATGCATGGGTCTATATTCACGTACATGTTGTTTACTTGTCTTGTTTACTTGTCATTGGGCCATGAATCATTAAATGTTTTTATTGAAAAGACGATCTGAGAAATAATTTGAATTAAAATTTAAATGAAATAAGGTATTGTTATAAAAATAAAATGATTCTCTCTTTTCAACCTACCTGGAAATGAGAATGGAAGGGATAAAGTACATAGAAATACTCAACCAAGCGGTTTCTAAGAAAAAGTTTAAAGATATGCAAAAGAAATACAAAAAAAGACAGAGGAAAATATATCAACAACAATCATTCCATAAAGTTTAAAAAACTTTAACCAGTTTCAAATATGCATATAAATATTAAAAAAATATTCCTTTCAATATTTTTAAGTAAATACAAATAATGAAATTTAAAATTTAAAAATGTAACTGGTTTCAAACATGCATACAAGTGCTGTGAAAATATTCCCTCTGTTAAAATAGTTTTAAGTACCATGTTTATAATAAATAGACTCATCCCAAAATTTTTTTGCAGAAATAGTAAGCTATGTCAAAAGATTAGAAGTGGTACTAGTTGTTTACAAAGATTATGTTAACCAACCTCTACATGTTAATTCATTTCATTCAAGCCTTATTTGGTTAGTACACGCAAAGTGTTAATCATTCCATTTATAATCCCAAAATTGGTTATTCCAAATTTTCTCAGCGGAGAAAATACTCCCTTAGCATTCCGTGAAAGTTACCCAATAGTTAATCATTCTGTATATAATCCTTAAATTGATTATGCCAAATTTCTCAGCTGAGACATTGGCCCCTTAGCATTCTGAGAAAGCTAACTCATTGACTAAATGTTAATCATTGATTATTTCAAATTTTTTTCAGCTGAGAAATTGGTCCCTTAGCATTCTCAGAAAGTTAATTCGCAACCATAGCCTATTACCTTTGTTCCGTGTATATGGTCTGCTTCTGAAAATGTCCGGTTTACGCTACATGCTTGACTTGAATAAATTCCTGATAGTCCCGAACATGGAATTATTAAACTCTTCACTTTATAAATCAGAACTGGCGCCTAGAAGATATTGTCACAGAAATTGTCTAAATGATAGCAGAACTGGCGGCCAGAGCAGTGTGGACAATGAGAATGTTAGGTTCAGATTTGAGGATGCTAGGGTCATGAGCACCCCCTCAGAAATAAGGATGCTAGGATCATGAGCACCCCTTCAGATATGAGGAGGCTAGGGTCATGAGTACCCATCCATAAGGTTGCTAGGGTCATGAGTACCCCTCAGATATAAGGATGCTAGGGTCATGAGCACCCCTTCAGATATGAGGATGCTAGGGTCATGAGTACCCACTTCAGATATGAGGATGCTATGGTCATGAGCACCCCACCTCTATCCCTCAGATACAAACAATGTTTGTCACGTTCCTAATCCTTGAATCTTTGATTTCATCATGAAAGAAGATCACATACTAACACCCCATTTGTTTACTGGGCCTGAAAATACGGATTTTAGTTTTACCTGATGACCTAGTACCTGGAATTTTCAACTTGGTGTCAGAAGCATTATAAAAATCATTAAAAACACAGATGAAAGGCAAGATGTCATAATGATCATACCTGATGATGCCTTAATTTGTACCTGACAATTTATGTGACAGGAGCCTTATTTCAAGGCCAATGACCTCCGTTTAACATCATGAGATATTGTGACACAAACTGTTTAAATTGTCTAGAAGTGTTTTAAGCCGGTTGGATTACAATTTCCAAATATACAAATTTACCTTCAATTCTAATATACATGTAGCAAAATATAAAAATAAAGTAAAAAGCAGAAGAAACTTATAAATTTAAAGAAAAGAAAAGAAGAATAAAAGGTGATAATTTTGACACTGGGACCCATTTCGCTAAATGACATTTACTATAAAAATCATACAAATTTCTCGACGAAAAGCTTGTGATTAAAGCAGCTGATGGTCGTTTGAACAATTTTAAGTCCTGTGTACATGTAAACTACAACATTGTAAAAACCGAATGTCTTATAAATTAAAGGTCACCGGAAAAGCTTCATGATTTTTTTTAAATAATGCAAGTAATTATGTCAACATATCGTATAACACAAACCTGAATGTCAATGTTACCTGCAACAGGTAAATTTCAACAATAGCGATTTCCGTCGTTCTCCGTGAGTATTCGAAATATAGACTAGAATATAAGCAGAAAGACTAAAATAATGTCACAGATGTTTTATTGGTGGAAAGTTACGATCACTCACAGAGAAGGGCAGAAATCGCTTACGTTGAAATTTACCTGTCACAGGTAACATTGACATTCAGGATTGTGTTTTCTTATGGAAAGGATATGTTGACATAATTACTTGCATTATTTAAAAAAATTTATGAAGCTTTTCTGGTGAGCTTTAATATGAGTCTAAAAACGGTGAAGTACTACTGTTCAGTATTTAAAAGTTATGATCAACTAAAAATTTCACAAAATGCAGCATCCACTGCAGATGATACAAACAAACCAGTGCCACCTATTAGTGCCGAGTAAATATTTTTGATAGGCCTCTTTTGTATCCAATGGAATCCAAGATGGTAGATTATCTACCGTTTTTATATAATTTTGTTTTTTTGTCAATCAAATGTTAAATAGTCCATATGGATTAAACTGTGAACAATTAGATATGGTCGGAAATTTTTTTTAAGTATGATTTTATATTGCTCTGTTTAGTGAAACTGGCCCTGGGCTATCAATGCATATAAAATGTCTAGCAGGGAATGGGGGGGGGGGGGGGGGGTGAGGGAGAGGGAGAGGGGAGGGGTGAGGGGAAGGGGGAATAGTTAAGGAAAGTAGTGGATGAATAGATAAGAATAAACACAGGAATTCTGTCAACTATTTTAATATCTTCTTTTCCTGTAAATTTTTGACCCTCATGAAAAGTACTTTAACATGAAATGGTACTTTAGCATGAAATAGTACTTTAACATAAAATGGTATTTCAACATAAATTTGATGAATGCTAAATTGTATATTGATAAATTCAACTTGAGAAAACTTTGGGTACAGTAAACATACATAAATTGAGAAAACTTGGGCAGCAGTGCACATTGATAAATACAATTTGAGAAAACATAGGCTGAAGCACACATTTCGAAAATGCAACTGTGCCGAAGTACACATAAATATTAACAACTTTGTGAATAATCATGCCAAAGTAAATATTGATAAGTAAAATGTCTAGAACTAAACAGAAAGACGACATACCTGATTGCCTTGTATGATCCATAACAACATTCCTAAAATGGTCGGCACAACTAGTGATATGGTATAATGTCCTAGATAAGCGAAATACATGGCTATTTTTACACCGAAATATTCACAGATTGGCCCTGAAATATAAATAACAAATAGAAATTATGTGAGAGAGAGAGAGATGGGGTTGAACCTCCTCACTCGACAAAAACATATGGTTCAATTTTATTTTGATAATTTGCTTGCACGTAGGGGTCTTTAGCAATGGGAGGAAACCGGAAGACCCACAGAAAACACACGAGGTTGGACACGGACAAGGGACCCTACTTCTTGTTATGTACAACCAGGGAATTAAAACCACACCAGCTGACTCATTGACAGACCTTATGATATAACGTGCCCACGCTAACCATTCGACTATTCAACATCCAGGAATTACGTAAACAGGTTTTATTTTAGTCCCACTTTTCTCTACCGGGCTAATAAAGACAGACAGAGAATACATGTTATGGTTTGGTTCAGAGAGAGAGAGAGAGAGAGAAATGGGGTTTTACGTCCACTCAACACAAACTAGGTCATTTCACGACGAACACATGGTTCAATTTTAATTCAATAATTCCCTAGCGCGTAGGGGTCTTTAGCAGTGGGAGGAAACCAGAGGACCCAGAGAAAACCCACTCCTTGTCACATGGTTTGGTTCAAGATGATATAAGGATCAGAGCGAATTTGAAACTTCTATCCACAGGTAAATCAGATACACTTCAGGTGTTATAGCAACTAATGCAAATATATATTATCATACAGGAGTGTAACTACCAGTATCAAAGAGTCGGGTCAACTGTCCACCCCCCTGGGTTTTCTCTGGGTCGCCCAGCTTCCTCCCTTGCTAAAGACACCTACGTACAACTGAATTATTGAAACAAAATTGAACCATATGTTAGTCCGAAATGACCTAGTCTGTGTCGAGTGGACATTAAACCCATCTTTCTCTCTCTTACGTAACTATCAGACTGTACCATGTGACCCACTCCCTAAATAGACATCTCCCCATCTAACTACCACAGTTTATGATTTCAGATTTTGATATCCATATCATATTGTAATTATGTAAACGACAGGATTAGATAACATCGATATCCATATCATATTGTAATTATATAGATAGACAACAGGATTAATTAACATCGATATCCATATCGTATTGTAATTATATAGACAAGAGGATTAGATAACATCTTCATCAGATGGTATTAAAATAATTCCTGCAAGCATGAAGAATTTATGATACATGTATAGTCAACAAGTTGCAGGAACCATCAGTCTAATCAACTTCACATGTTGGCACCCTTCTGACCATCGAGGAAAAGTACAATTTGTGTTTTGAAGAAATACCACGCTGCCGTATGAACTTATATCCATCAGTAAAATAAACGAATACAGTAATTTATTCAGGAATATTACTGACATGAATTTCAAGCCGGTACGTGAATTAACGATGAAATTACCAAGAATTATTTTTGTTGATGTCTGGTTATATTAAAGGGAATGGAAGCTTAAAATTTTATAACCCAGTTCCAACCGGGACCTCATTTGAGCCAATTCTGGCTGGTTCGTTTCAAAATGAATTAAGAACCCTGAGTAAATCCCATGAAAAAGAAATCTTCACTAAAAAATCATGTTCCCATTTGATAAAAAAAAGACTTACCTAATGGCTGTGGTTTAAAGAAAGCCTGAACCCAGCTTTTATTTAAATATGACAGATCCTCACTACAGTGAAGTGGGAAGACTCGCGAAATAATCTTCTTAGATTCTAATAATGGCACTGAAAGAGAGAGGAAATCATTTTAAGAGAGATTGAAAGTACAGACAGTGACACCAGTGTTGGGATTTCAAAATTTTTCTTGTCAGACATTTTTTACCGAAAATTAAAGGGCATAACTCTTATCATTATTTAAGCAGGCAGTTTTACAAAAACTAGGGCCTGTTTCATGAAATTTTAACTAAGATAAAATCCAAATTTTAGTAATTTGATTGGATAATATCAGATTGATTTTAGTGCTTAGCCAATCAAAATTGAAGTACATGTATATATTAAAATTTGGATTCTATCTTTAGTTAAGATTTTGAGAAACAGGGTCCTGGACTACAGTTTGATGATATCACAAACAACCAATAAACAAATAACCAAGATCCAGGCCTTCAATTGTCACTGCAGCCTGGATAGCATTTAATCTTGTGTATTTTTAACCCTAATTTCATTCGTTAAATACCAAATCTTCATTTGAAAATTAGTAAAAATCGTCTAAGATCACCCAAAATCATTTGACCATTTAATTTTCAAGCGTTTAATTTCCCGATCACTGTTCAAAAATAAAAAACCCAACTGATTGATTATTGATGTATAATGATTAATTGAACAGTGGTCAGGAAATCAAATAACTGTAAATTGGACACTATTATTATGCAATAGTCAGGTGACAGTATGTTCTGCATTCTGTTTTAATCATAATACAGTTTTTGCAATCTGATGGAATGAGACGGAAAAATTTCAAAAATGAAAAGTTGCAAACACTTTACAACTCAGTAAACTACATGTACATGTAGCATATGTTACTAAATGGCTATATGTATTTTGTTCGGATTAAATCAAGCCATTTATTTGTGAATCATAATGATTCATATTGTTGATCAAATAACAAGGTTGAATAAAATTTAGATCAAAAATCATTTTGTTTTGGTAATTAATGTTGATACATTTAGCTAAATTCCCAATAAATTAGTCATATTCTTCAAATTGAAAATGGAAATGAGATAAAATTGGTTTTAACGTCTTACTGTTCTGTTCTGTTCCAACTGGGCTAACGAAGACGGGTATATGCCATATGACACAGTCTGTTATGAGGAAAATCTTGCCTGGACAGTGGCGCTACAGCCTACTGTTATATCGAATTCTAACTACACAGGACCAAGATTTTTGTCCCATAAGTTGTTCCTTGCCAGGCCCTCTGTCTTGCACATAGGAAAATTTCAGTAACTTTCTCAGCCAACACTGGGATTTAACACGGGACCTCCAGGTTAGCGAGACCATGTATTACTCACTGAGCCACTGTGGCTCCTGTTCAAATTGATGTTTTTAACTGTTTTACTAGAAAAGTGTGATGAATTGTTCGTATTGGACAAAAAACAGGTCCACCAGGAAACACATTGGCATGCATGTAAAAGATCCCTCGACAACTCGAATTTGAAAAAAAATGATTCGGCAGAATTCTCGGCCTAGCATTGGACACAATATATTTTATTAAAACTTTGTTTTGACATGGTATGGCATAACATTTATTATGATTTAATTTTCAAGCATACATACCAAAGGATACCTTCGAACACTTACCAATTGGTTGTCCTTCTAAAAACTTTATCTTTTCTAATTCTTCCCCTTCTTCTGCCCGGAGATTATTCAACATGTGATATAATATCGCTTGACGTTCTTGACTAGTTAAAAAAGCTTTTTCATCCTGGATACCTGCGAAACATTCCTGATCTTCGAACGTAAATTCCTTCAAACCTCCGCCATATTCTGATTTCAGTGGCTTCTGTATTGCAAGATCTTCGGCTCCTTTTAATAAACTGGACAAATAAAATAGATGATCTATTTAATCAAAATTCAATTTACTATATATCGAAAAAAAAAACCCTGAAGAAATCCGAAACCGAAAAATACTGAAATAAATTTGATAAACCTTATATACAGAAAAATCAGTAAATACCGAAAAAACAACATTAATTACTTAAAAAACACTATGCATGTGGAAAGGAATCTTTAATCACACAGTCAGAGGCGTAGCCGTGAAATATATATTGGGGGGGGTCCACAACCCTAACCCCTAACCCTAACCCATTTTTTAAAACCCCTAAAAATATAAACAAACACCATGTGGCCATGCTGTCTACCAAGACACCGCGTGCAAAAGCATTATGGTTACGTTGGTGGCTGAGCGGGCGATAAATATTTGGTTTAGGCAGTTATGTTTTTGGGTACCTACATGCGATTCACTCTGATAAGTGGCAGAAAAAAATTAACAAAATATTACTGACAGGCTAACTAGACACAATTTTATGGAACACAGGTACTTTTCACTTCACACATGTTCCCAGGATGATTATCTCTGTGTTTTATTTTAGCAGTATAAACCATATTGGGATATGTACAGGTTTTATACAGATAGAATCTTAACTAATCCTAATAATTGTTGTAAATAAATAGGAGTTTTGGCCTACTATGTAAATTTTTTTTTTTGGGGGGGGGGGGGTTCCAAGTATATTCAGACCCCCTCCAAAAAACAATTGGGGGGGTCGGCCCCCCCCCCCCCCCCCTCCGGACACCCCCATGTGTGATGCCCTGCACACAGTTTGTACGTGGGAAGGAATCTTTAATCGCACAGTTTGTACGTGGGTAGGAATCTTTAATCACACAGTTTGTACGTGGGAAGGAATCAGTGATATATTTCAATTGATGCTGATGTAAAATTGCTTCTTTATGAAGACTGACAACAGAATAAAAGGAGATTGAAGTCTTCAACAACGGTCATAAATATCAAAACAATATAAAATATCTTTTGATTTCCTTTGAGGAAAATTAAAACTATTTGAATGAGAGAGATCTGGTGTTTAATGGTGTAATAAAACAGTTGATTTCCATTTCTAGAGAGAGAGAGAAATGGAGTTTAACATCCACTTGACACAAACTAGGTCATTTTGGGACTACACATGGTTGAATTTTATTTTAATAATTTGTTTGCGCATAGGGGTCTTTAGCAGTGGGAGGAAACCGGATGAAAACCCACAAGGTTGGACAGGCGATCCTACTCCTTGTCACATACAACTGGGGAATCGAAACCACGCCAGCTGACTAAATGACATACCTTATGATACAGCATGTGCTAACCATTCGACCAACCAACCCCTCGGCAAAACAGATAATTCAAATTACTTACTTTTCATAAGTAGCAGTCATATAAAAGCCATAGATTCCTGAATTACTATGGTGTCTCACGTGCACAACAATCTCTGGTGTTCGCCATTTTAATCTTGCTAGAAGCCACATCAACGTGGAGTCATCGGTTTTAGCGGGAAATGTTAGAAGGATATCACAGTTCTGCGTTGGGATGGTCCTCTGCCAGACTTTACTGGAAACCATTAATCGACTTGTATTAGCAAACCGTTTCCCAAACATTTTATATGCTGAAAAAAAAAGGGATAAATAAACTTAATTTGTGTTAATACATTGAAGAACAAAACCAGATACGCCAACATTTTGCAAGCGATGGACAGAAAACAAGCTAAAAAATTAAAAAGAAAGATTTTTCATACAATACAGGGCCATACTCATAAGTATTGAAAGCTTCATTAAAATTGGATAAAAATTGTGACCTCTAGAGGGTCAACAACCTTGGTATTACAATGTACATACTTTTACACTATCTGCGAAAGAGGAGCAGCCAATCAGGCAGTTTGATCCGATTTTCGAACTCAACTGTCATTATGGTGTAACAGTGATATATTTTCCAATATATTCATTTTTCATTATCTATTTTTAAACTATTATAGCGAGAACTGTCAGCTCATTATCTAAATCTTACGTAATGCATCTTTAAATGGAAGTGGAATAAATACTCCTAATAAATCACTTTGTGTTTTCGATTAAAATCGTTGATTCAGGACTGAAAATGTCGGTCAACTAGCTTAAATGTCAGTCAACTAAACAACATGTAGCTTGAAATTGAAATTTTAATTCCATATATTATCTGCGTAAATGCTGAAGATAATTGAACCATTTTTGGACTGATATTACTATTAGAGATTCATCCTTCACTATTGCAGGGGATTCCTATAGTGCTAATATCATGTAACGATACTACATGTAATACAATATTATATCTGGAATCAAGATTTAAGGTGATATAAATCCATCTCCTTTATTGTTAATTGTTTTAGAGACAGCGCAGGGATGGCCGAATCGTTAGCGTGTGCATGCTGCATCATAAGGTCTGTCATTGAGTCAACTGGCGTGGTTTCGATTCACAAGGAATAGGGTCGCCTGTCCAACCTCGTGGTTTTTCTCTGGATCCTCCTGTTTCCTCCCACTGCTAACGCCCCCTACATGCAAGTGAATTATTGAAATAAAATTAAACCATATGTTAGTCCCAAAATGACCTAGTTTGTGTTCAGTGGACGTTAAACCCCATTTTTCTCACTCTTCTGAAAGTTCTTTTTATTTACTTATAATGATTAATCTAGCTTGTATATTGCTTTTGTCTACTTATCCTTACATTTCATAAAAAAACTGTAAGTAAGGATTTGGGATTTGTACAAATTAATCATGAAATTTCTGTTAATTACTTTTAGAGTTATTGACCTTGCTCAATTTGAAAAAAAACTTGTGAACACTCTAGCAACAAAAGTCATCATATGGGGAGGTGGGCAAACCACGTGACAAGGAGTAAGGTCGCCTGTTCAACCTCATGGTTTTTCTCTGGATCCCACTGCTAAAGACCACTATTCACAAGCGAATTATTGAGATAAAATTGAACCATATGTTAGTCAAAAAATGACCTAGTTTGTGTTGAGTGGAGTTAAAGCGAATTATTGAAATAAAATTGAACCATATGTTAGTCTAGAAATGGACCTAGTTGACTCGAGTGGATGTCTCTCTCTACCTCCCTTTAAGAGAGAGAGAGAGAGAGAGAGAGAGAGGTAGAGAGAAAGAGAGAGATATGAAAAATGGGGTTTAACATCCACTCGACACAAACTAGGTCATTTCGAGACTAGCATATGGTCTCTCTCTCCCTCCCTCTCTCCCCCCCTCTCCCTCTCATATTGTTAAAATCATGTAACATACTAATACAATATGATATTTGGAATCAGATGAAGCTTATATAAATCCATCTGGTTTATTGTTTGTGTGACATATAACTCTAGTAATGTTAGGATTTTATGAAGTTTTATCTTTCCTGTAGAATATCGACAAACCATCAGGGAAATTAACGCTGGCTATGTTATTATGATGTGTCATATATTCTAGCTCATTTGTAGTTTTATGCAAATTGAACTGGGACAAGTGGCTCCCTCTAGACAACGTGTAATTATCTAACAAATGTTATAAATCATCTGAAAACAAAACAAGAGAGGGAGAGAGAAATGAAATGAAATGAAATGGGGTTTAACGTCCTACTGTTCTGCTCCGAACTGGGCTAATGAAGACAGGCATATGCCATACAGTGTGCTACGAGGAGATTTTGTCTGGACAGCGGCATTACAGCGTACTCTTATATCAAATTCCAACTGTCAAGGGATCTTTTACGTTCACGTCAATGTGTACACGCGACCTCGGTTTTTCGTCTCATCCGAATGAATAGACAGCTGTCCTTGTCAGGCCCTCCATCCTGCATCACTGACAAGGGGGAACCATGCCAGAAAATCTGGATGAACTTTTTCGGCCAATGCAGGGATCGAACACCTGACCTCCAGGCTAGCGAGCCAGTGTCTTACCCACTTAGCCACCGTGACCGCCAGAGGAAGAGAGAAACAGGCCATAACATCCACTCGACACAAACTAGTTCATTTTGGGACTGACAGGGTTAAATTTGCTAGTGCATATGGGTCTTTAGCAGCGAGAGGAAACATAAGGACACAGAGAAAACCCATGAGGTTCGACAGTTGACGCTACTCCTTATCACACAAGCAGAGAATGTAAACCATGCCACTTGACTCAATGACAGACCTTATGATCTAAAGGGCAAGCCTTAGACCATTCCAAATAAGTGTATGTCATGTCCGTGCAAAAGTTCTCTCATAGCATACTGCAAGGCTTGTGTGGAGGTCGCCATGTTTGATTTGAGTGTGTTTGTGTCACAACCTCTGATTGGATGCTGTTGTTACATGTCTGTGTTAAAAGGGAGATAATAGAGCTATAAGTTAGGGAATTGCAGACCAGTCTAGCAACGTCTAGATGTTGTAAAACATGCGGATGTTGCTTCAGGAACAAGCTTACTCATGGAACCATCATGGCTTCCTGAAAACACTGAGTTCACCTATAAATTAATAAAACTAATATGTGAAATTATATAGCGCAAAATCCACAAAACGTACTCATAACGCATACAGAAACTATATACAAAAGTTCACTGACTGTAAGTTATTTGACAATTTTTGTAATGAATTTTGCAAAGATTTGAAGATTGACAATAAAGTAAAAAAACCTAGTTGAATTGGAAGTGAATTCCATCTTTCAGGTGTGGAACTGTCCAAACTCGTGGGTTTTCTCCGGGTCCTCCGGTTTCCTCCCACTGCTAAAGACCCCTACACGCAAGCGAATCATAGAAATAGAATTGAACCATGTGTTAGTCCCGAAATGACCTAGTTTGTGTCAAGTGGATTTTAAACCCCATTTCTCTCTCTCTCTTTCAGTAGCGGAAACAGCAAATTTTGTGAAAACAGTAAATATTGATGACTAATAGTCGTAGTATGTCGCCGTCCGTCTGCTGTCAAGTCTAGTAAAACTCTAACATTGACTTTACCAGAAAGAATGTGAAAATATTGATTACCATAGTAACTGAATATTATCACCTGTTGCCGACAACGATATTAAACCTATTTTATATTAATAGTCAACTTTATCTATTATACTGATACTGTGTGTATTTGTACACACAAACTTATATACAGTATCAGTATGCAATTGCTTACTAGTTGGTGTTTAACGGATGCGTAAACATACATTATGCAAGAGCTAAATCTGCCTATTGCAGGTCTATCTTTAGGCCTGAAATGTTTTCTAAATTATCAATTAGACATTAATTAACTTATCCAGGCCATAATCAACTCTCGATGGCATCAGATTTCTCTGATATTAAATAAATTAGAACAGTTCAGCCATATTTTGATTTAAGTTAAAAAGGAGAGCTTCGAACAACTAGTACGGTGGTTAAAATAATTGCACTGTGCAATTTGCACACATCGTGTCAAACCTTCAAATGCTAATATCTTCTCTCGCAATAGATTAATTTGAATGAAATTGTCAAATTATTCATTTTAAATTATCTATTTTGGAACTATTATAGCAAGAATGGCCAGCTCTTTATCTAAACCTTACTTAATGTATCTTTAAACAATATCCCTGACATTTTTGTTTTTTTGCAATCGTTGGCAGATGACACACATGTAAATGAAATGAAATTGGGTTTTATGTCCTATTTTTCTGCTCTGACTGGGATAATGAAGACAGGCATACGCCATACAATGTCCTATGATGGAAATTTTGCCCGGACAGTGGCACTACAACGTACTCTAACATGTATATTAAATTCCAACTGATCTTTTATGTGCACGCCATTGTGTACACAGGACCTGTTTTTCATCCCATCCGAAGGACTAGATAGCTATCCTTGTCAGGCAGACGACATAAAACCTTGGAACTAAAAATGTTCTTTAATAACAGAAATGAAATGAATGCATATATAGGAAAAATGGAAATATGCATATCTTTAATAGAAAATGGAATATGATTGCTCTGTTTGATAATATGTAAAGAATAGAATATTTTGATATGTGCATATTGTAGCTTGTAAAGAAAGAGATAATTATGATAAATGTACATTTGTATGGAATAAGAATAAAAAAAAAAGAAATGAATGCAATGGGATTTAATTAATGTCCTACTGTTTTGCACTAATCACATTAATAAAGATGAGCATACGCTATGCAGTGGGCTATGAGTACAAGAGAAATGAAATTTGAGAGAGAAACGGGGTGTAATGCCCACTCGACACAAACTAGGTCATTTCGGGACTAACATATGGTTTAATTTTATTTCAATAATTCACATGCACGTAGGGGTCTTTAGCAGTGGGAGGAAACCAGAGGACCCGGAGAAAACGTCTGAGGTTGGACAGGCGACCCTACTCTTTGTCAATTTTTTTTTGAAGTCCAGCTTCAAATAACCTTTACCACAAATTCATAAAACAGTGATACACTTATTTCTAGAGAAATGAAATAGGGTTTAGCCAGTCCTGAATTAAGGCTCTATTGTCCCTGAAAACCCCCAGGTATTTTGGGTTCACTGATAAAAGGAAGAAAGTTAAAGTTAACAACAGAAAATTTATTACAAAAGCGTTCAGAACCATTTTTTTTTAAAGTACTATAATTACTCTAAGATTACAGTAGCTAGATTACAAATTTTTTTACTTTATTGTTTAGTGGTCTGGAATTTTGGCTGGCCCTAAGGGTACCTTTCTAATTGTTAATCCGACAGTGGGTTAGTAGTGTCTTACTATTCTGCACCAATTGATGTATCCAGTATCCCTCAAGATTTTCTAGTGCAGTTTCTCCACATCAGGGGACATAAAACCACATTCCATGCTGTTTTATTTCAATAACACACATATCTTATACACACAAATAGCAGAATCCTCTCCCTGGATGTTAGTTACGCATGGAATGTAGTCTACAGCTAGAATACCCCATGGAGATTATTTTAATGAAATTATCAGTGATTTTTATTATCTAGACTAAATAGAAATTAGGTTCTGTATACCAAGAAAACATGTAAGTAATGTCACCTACAATAGGTGGGGGGTTAGATGGCTGAATGGTTACTTAACGTGTGTGCTTTGTATCATAAGGTCTGTCATTGAGTCAACTGGCGTGGTTTCAAATCCCTAGTTGTACGTGGCAAGAAGAAAGATTGCCTGTCCAAAATCGTGGGTTTTCTCCGGGTCTTCAGGTGTCCTCCCACGGCTGAAGACCCCTACGGGCTATCGAATTATTGAAATAAAGTTGAACCATATGTTAGTCTCAAAATGACCTAGTTTGTGTTGAGTCTCTCTCTATCTCTCTCTCTCTCTCTCTCTCTCTCTCTATCTCTGCTACAATAGTGTTTCAATTGGGTGCCAAATGAGAACAGAGTATTTTGCTGGGGTCATTGTCAGCTATAATGCTACAGACAACTACGAACTACTACCCATGGAACAGTGCACTCTCATTTATTGTACCATATTGGCTGAAAGGGAGCCATGGTGGCTAAGACGCTGACTCACTAGTCTGGAGGTTGCAGGTTCGCTCCCAGTGTAGGCCGAGAAAGTTCACTGGGATATTCTGGTGTGGTTTCCCCTTGTAAGTGGTGCAGGACGGATGGCCTGACAAGTACAGTTGTCTAGTCATTCAGATGGGACGAGAAACCAAGGTCCTGTGTGCACGTAAAAGATCCCTTCGCAGGTAAAATTTCCCTTCTTGACACACTGTATGGCGTGCCCATCTGAACGACTAGACAGCTGTCCTTGTCAGGTCCTTCAATCTACATCACTGACAAGGGGAAACCACCCCAGAAAATCCTGATGAACTTTCTCGGCCAATACAGGGATCGAACACTCGACCTCCAGGCTAGAGCGAGCCAGCGTCCATAGAAAACAACATTGTGACACCAAACCCTGCACTCATATAGGTAAAATATACAGAATATTTTAGGGGAGAGAGAGAGAGAAATGGGGTTTAACGTCCACTCGACACAAACTAGGTCATTTTGGGACTAACGTATGGTTTAATTTTATTTACATAATTCGCTTGCGCGTAGGGGTCTTTAGCAGTGGGAGGAAACCGGAGGACCCGGAGAAAACCCACGAGGTTGGACAGGCGACCCTACTCCTTGCCACGTACAACCGGGGATTCGAAACCACGCCAGTCGACTCAATGACAGACTTTATGATACAGCGCGCGCCCGCTAACCATTCAGCCATCCAACCCCCCGAATATTTTAGGTATCATTATAATTAGATAATAGTTATGATGGATCCCCAACCATATTTATCCGTCATCCGTTCAGAAAATTCAGAAAGTTTATGATATATATATGTCAATATCATTCTGCTTCAGAAGTTCTTTTATAAGAAATTTTCATATTTAAATACTTTATTTAGCTTTAATTACAGCAATTCTATGAAATTTTATCAAGTGTTAAATTATATACAGAACATAATTCTATAGAATACAATATCTCTTTATAACTCTGTATTAAACTCGAGGTTGATATAAACAGACATTAAATGGGGTTTTAATATCCTACTTTTCTGCACCAACTGGGCTAATGACCTAGTTGTTCGGATCACACAAAAAACCTGATTGGTCTACATGTTGTTATTATTGGGGTTTTTTGGGGGGCTTTTTTTCAAAACAAGGATATCTGAATGGGATTATGGAACAGGCTTAGCCTATGTAAAACCCCTCTCCCTAATTACTGTTATGTATATTATAATTACTGTCAAGTATATTATGTCTAGAAATATTTATAACTGTATCAGCTGTCTAGTTGTTTGGAATGGACGAAAAACCAAGGTCCCGTGTATCCCTTGGTAATTGGAATTCGATATAAGAGAAGGCCCTAGTGATGCTGCCCGGGCAAAATTTCCCTCATAGCACAATGTGTAGCAAATGCTTAGCTTCATTAGCCCAATCGGAGCAGAATAGTAATTGTCAAACTGATCCGCAGTAAATTTTCCATCACTGAGTCTCACTGAGATGTATGAAATCAAGAGCCTCACTGATGAAATCACAGTATCAATTTCTATGGCAACTTTATTGCAAAAATAAATAAAGGGGTTTATTTGGATACAAAAAATATCGCATTGATTGTAATTATGTACATAAAATAGTATGCAGAGGGGTAAATTTAAGTAAAAGGTGGATTTATTTCCAGATCAGTTATTACTTCCGATGCAAAATTCTTTGTTTTTTAATCTGTTTGTTTTCCTTGTGCGCATTTTGTTTTTGAATAACAAAAACAAGCAACAGAAGTACGGTAAGTAATTTTTGTCACCCATGCGGACCTATACATGACTTGACGTTCAAGGTCACAACACCTTTTAGATTACGCCCATTTTCAACCGCGAAAAACACAACTTGAAACAAAGAAACGAAGATGAATGGTGTGAAATGTCATTTATGGGTTCTGACAGTAATTAAATATAATTTGATTGTATGATATGTGCTTATTAGAACTACATGTATCCAGTGATTACCGGAAGAACTTCATGAATCATTAAAAACAGACCTGCCTGGTCAATAGGTAACAGAACATGTAGACACTGTCACCAGCAGGTTTGTCATGTTTTTTGTCGATAAAAAAATAATGAGAATTTGACTATTTGGTGAAATAATAAATCAATAATGCACTGAATGACTGTATATTTATAATAACAGTTGGTCAGGTTAAAACAATAATTGATGGCTAGACTTCTTCACTCTCAAATATATCACTTCCAATCAAATATATCCACCTGTAATACACCTTCAATGTGAGAGAGAGAGAGACACACACACACATAAACTATGTCATTTTGGGGATTTATGGCACAATTTTATTCATTAATTTGCTTGTCCGTAGCAGTGGGAGGAAACGGATAGGTTGGAATGGCAATCCTACTCCTTGTCACTTACTACCGCTTGAATCAATGACAGACCTTAAGATCTAAAGCATTACACCACTCTGCCCACCTCCCTTTTGTTGCTAGGGTGTTAACAAGTTTTTTTTTCAAAATTAGCAAGGTCAATAACTCTAAAAGTAATTAACAGAAATTTCATGATTAAATTGTACAAATCCCAAATCCTTACTTACAGTTCTTTATAAACTGTAAGGATTAGTAGACATATACAAGCTAGATTAATTCTTATATGAAATGCTCCTAAACTGGGCTAATGAAGACGGGCATACACCTTACAGTGTGCTATGAGGGAAATTTTGCAAAGGCAGCGGCCTACTCTAATATCGAATTCCAACTGCCAAGGGATCTTTTACGTGCACGCTAATATGTACACGTCCCATCCCAACGACTAGAGAGCCGTCCCTGCCAGGCCCTTCGTCCTGCATCACTGACAAGGAGAAACCACGCCGGAAAATCTGGATGAACTTTCTCGGCCAATGCAGGGATCGAACACCCGATCTCCAGGCTAGCGAGCCAGCGTCTTACCCACTTTTAATTCTTATAAGTAAATAAAAAGAACTTGCAGAAGAGAGAGAGAGAAATGGTGGTTTAACGTCCACTCGACATATACTAGGTAATTTCTTGACTAACATATGGTTCAATTTTATTTCAATAATTTGCTTGCGCGTAGGGGTCTTTAGCAGTGGGAGGAAACCGAAGCAACAATGATATGAAATTAAACATGAAATACAGAAACTCCTGTTTAAACAACACAACTAAATGATACCCAAGTTGTAGTGATATATTATAACATTCAAAACTTTTATCTTATAAAATCTCTGAAATGAGGTTTAACATCCTACTTTTTATGCACTAACTAGCGGATGACCCGCCGCTGCATGGGTTGAAAGTATTATAACTCCGAAAACGGAGGTGGTAGTCTAACGCCAACTGGCTCATGTTACTGCCCGGTTGGAGCTACCCCTATACACCAAATTTCAACCTGGGGACCAACCTAGTGTAGCCACTTACCCTAACAGACAGACAGGCGACAGTCACAAATATTAGTATAAATTTACCAAACAACTTTTTGTAATCTCATAGGAGAAAATTAAAATTCAAAACAAACCATTATCGTTATCCTTAATGCTCGTCGTATCCACAGGGGCTTGACCATTATTCTCAGCATGTACAGGGGTGCTAGCACTACCATTATTCTCGGTATGCATAGGCATAGCCATATTGAAACGTATGCACGCAACCAAAAAAACGAAAATTGATGTATGAAATTATGAGAATACTGTCGATTGTTACTCCACGCTCTACTCAGTCAGTTTACAGTAATTATTTGTCGGCGATACCTTTATACACACATATATATATATTATATATATATATTGATTTCACTGGAGAAACTTTTCATAGATTTGAAACATCTGTTCACCTGTGAGAGAGAAGCCCGGGTGAAAACCCATTGATTTTAGCCAGTAAAACCGGCAATCTATACTGAGCTATAGTTGTGAACAATCAACTGAGACGATTTAGTTTTTTTTTTTGCAAAATGAAATGAGGTCTAGTGTCCTACTTTTCTGCACCGACCAGGCCAATGAAGACAGGCATACGAATGATGAAGGAAATTTTGCTCATCAGCATTGCTATGTTACAGCCTACTATTATTTTGATTTTCATTTGTACAGGGATCTTTAACATGCAGCTATTGGTTGGTACAATGTATGCACAAGGCCACATTTTTCGTACCATCCAAACAACTAGTCACTTTTCCTTGGCACTGGAGAGAGAAAAGAGGTTTAATGTCCACTTGGGACTAACATATGGTTCAATTTTATTTCAATAATTCAGTAGAGTGTAGGGGTCTTTAGCAGTGGGAGGAAACCCGGAGGACCCGGAGAAAACCGATGAAGCTGGACAGGAAAATATGGAATGATGTTCATAATCTATACTAGGATTAAACAATTTGAATAATTCTTTTGACTAATAATATACTTCTTAAAAAGATAATCAAGCCTGGAAATAAGACACCTGTCACAGACAATGTCTGGCACAGATTCAGGGTTTTGTCAGGCACTAAACCTCTGGTGCATGTCATTTTGTCCAGCACTGGTTTGTGTTTTTTATTGATATTATTAATACATGTACGGCACTGAGTTGAAAATATCAGGTACATGTACTATCCATCAGTGCCTGATATTTGGTCAGGTATATCTGGATATGGAAAGAGAGAAATGTGGTTTAAGGTTAACTAACAGTAGGTCATTTCGAGACTAACATATGGTCCAATAATTTACATGCACATATGGGTCTTTATCAGTAGGAGGAAACTAGAGGAACTTGAGAAAACCCACGGGGTTAGAGTCCTTGTCACATACAAGCTGGGAATTCCAATGTTCTGGGAAACGAAACCACCCAATTTCACCGTTCAGTTAGTCAAACCCTGTTACTCTATATTGAATGAAAGTTTATACAGTATTTGCATTTCTGGGACAATCGGATTAAAACACAGATCCTAATTTGTTTTTTACTTGTCTTTACTACACTAGGATTTGGAAGATTTGTTATATTACCAGCGTTCTGGTTGAAAGGAGGGATTAGCCAATGAAACGGTCTGTTATGGTGGGTTCTTGGCGTGCGATGTGGGTAAACCACTATAAACATCAATGCTGATTGATTAATCAATGTCTAACATCAAAGAGTCAAAAGCTGCTCACACGACCCCTGACGCACCCTTCCAGTACAACCGGTCAGATCTTCATGTAGTGTAGGTCATAGAAAGTATACATACGGCTAAATGAATTTGATTGGTAAATGCTTTTATGTAGATGTTCACATGTTTGTCTATTAGGTTGCTCATTAATGACAATGTGATGTGTGGTCTTCCTGCACTATAACCATAAAAATATTTTAACGAGAAACAAACTTCATAATTATCTATCTTTCCGAATTATGATCGTATTAAATTACATGTATATTAAAGATTTATACTCGAAAAAGGACGGTAGATATTACAGTCAGAATAGATATTGATTTTATTGTAACAATATATATACACATGTAAGCTTATATATCATAAAATATACTTTCAGTTAATGTTTAGCATTATAACAACCATTATTTCACAGTAATGTTTAGTAGATGTATATACATAACACTTATATTAATTCTAATTTATCACCATTTTAATGACTATTATTTAGCAGCAATGTTTAGTAAATGTATATATATAGCACTTATCGGCGGTGAAGCGTCAAAAGGGTGTATCTCGGGAAATTAGTCAAATACCCTTATTTGCATTTTTAAAATCTCCCAATTAAAAAGCACATTTCTGTCTAAGCTGTGTATCTCTACGCCAATTAAAACTGTTCTGAATATCATGTGTCCAAATGTTGTATCTTTATTTGTGGAAATATTGAAATGCAAAAGGTTCTATTTCTTAATCTTTAGAAATTCTCAGATACACCATTTTGACACTTCACCGACGTTATATTAATTCTAATTTATCACAATTTTGATAGTAAAATAGCATTTAAAGCCACAGTGAGCCAGACAGGAGGCCAATAATCATTTTCCTTTTATGGACTGAAAACCATTTTATATGGAGTAATACCGCTTCATGGGTTTAACTTATTCAACCTTTCCGCATACACCATGCAGTGGGCTACGACGTAAATTTTGATCAGATAAAATGGTCTATTGTTTGATGACATAAATTTTGATCGGATAAAATTGTCTATGTTTGATATCAAAACTTGTCTAGGTTTGATATCAAAAATGGTCTAGGTTTGATATCAAGAATGGTCTAGGTTTGATATCAAGAATGGACTAGGTTTGATATCAAGAATTGTCTAGGTTTGATATCATAAATGAAATGAAATCAGTTTAATGTCCTAATTTTCAGCATACACCATGTAAAATGCTATGAGGTAAATTTTGATTGAATAAAACGAGAAAAAGAAATGGGGTTTAACGTCCACTCAACACAAACTAGGTCATTTTGGAACTAACATAATGGTTCAATTTTATTTCAATAATTCGCTTGCGCATAGGAGTTTTTAGCAGTGGGATGAAACCGGAGGACCCGAAGGAAACCCACGAGGTTGGACAGGTGACCCTACTCCTTATGATGTATAACCGGGGAATCGAAACCACGCTGAGTCAGTGACAATGCATATATACCATGCAGAGTGTTACGAGGTAATTTTACCCAGATAGCGACATTTTCGCCAACCCTTGTTCGAGTTCTAACTGTCAAGGGTAATTGTCAATGATGCTATGTGTAGGTTCCCACTGTCGTGTGATTTGTTACGATAGGATTGTCCACAATCTGGTACGTGCTGATACGTTTCGATACGATCAACATGACAGCTACGACTGATGATACAATGATACAATGATAAGACCTGATTGGATCACCACAATTACTCCACGATTTCCATCGTAGCACTAATCGTGGTAGTGGGAACCTAGTAGGACCCTTCATCTCTTAGTAGTGATGGGTATTGTCACTGTAGTCACGATACGATACGTATTGCGATTCAGGTGCTACGACGCGATTTGTATCACGATTCATATCAACAGGATAAATGAAGAATCAATATTTTTGGTCCTGTCCATGTGGAAGAAATAAAACTGCTATATATGACGATATTGATGTGGATTGGGCCCCCTATGTAAATGAAGAAAAAGAGAGAGAGAGAGAGAGAGAGAGAGAGAGAGAGATGGGGTTTAACGTTCACTTGACAAAAACTAGGTCATTTCGGGAGTAACATATGGTTTAATTTTATTTCCATAATTGCTTGCGCGTAGGGGTCTTTAGCAGTGGGAGGAAACCAGAGAACCCTGAGAAAACCCACGAGGTTGGACAGGTGACCCTACTCCTTGTCACGTACAACCAGGGATTCGAAACCATGCCAGTTGACTCAATGACAGGCCTTATGATACAGCACACACATGCTAACCATTCGGCCGTCCAACCCCCCATTATGTAAAGGAAGAAAGAGATGTATATATTATTATTGCTGTATGAATGATAGAAGAGACACCATATGTTATAAGATATCGGAACAAATAAAAGATATAAAATCAACAAATATAACAGCTGTACCTTGAGCTTGTAAAAAGTCCATTGTTTAAAGTAAATCACCTCTCTAGGTCTCCATCTTCTTATAGAACATCTGATATCACTTATCTTGATGTATTTGGAGTGTTTATATATTATCAGTTTATGTAAATATTCCTTTTACACATGTACCTCTATCTCAGTGCGCATCACATCACATAAACGTATAAAATACTATCTCTTTAACATGTTTCCTGTATTCCCGAAAAACCTAGTAAATCAGATTTTAGCGTAAATTGAGTTAGATCCATATTTAGACGTTATGTAATTATCCCTTTTACACACATCTCGTCATCTTGTTGCGCTTTTTCTATTTATATACCATATCACATTTATAAACGTATAAAATACTTTCTCTTTTATACATGTCTTCTGTAATCGGGAAAAACCTATTCAGACAAATTTTGGTAAAAATTGTGATAGACCCATATTTGGACTATACTATAGGTTTTTCTCCTTCACTGAAATTATCTTCATAAAAAAAAAAAAAAAAAAGAAAATTTATTTTATATTCAGTAGCTTAATCCTGAAACAAAACAGTTTTCCCTTGCTTTCTCAAAGTAGCATTCAACAGACTTACTAGGTTTTTCCAGATTACAGGAGATATTTCTAGAACATTCAGTACTACTCCTTGTGTCCTTTCTCATTTGGTTACAATAACACCTTGAGTTCACATATGATAAATGTACATATAGCTACATGGATACATGTTTCCAGAACACCTACTGGTAACACTTGAGGTACATCACATAGATTTCTATAACACCTATATGTAATAGATGTATTTGAAATGTTCACATATAAATATCTTGAGCATCAGGTAACACTTCTTGTGTTTTTTGCCTTATGGTTTCTTTGAAATCTGGTTCTACTTCTCATACAATTGAGCAGTTCATATAAATGTGCATGATTTCTTTTTTACAAATATTTCTAGAACATCTAGTAACACATGTGATTTTTGTATCACCTGTTTACCACTTTTCGTGGAATTGATAAGTTCACATAGTTTCTCCTTTTTATTAGTATCCTTGTATAAATAATTGTTTTTCGTAGAAGATCTGATACCACCTCTACCACTCTAGTTTTGGAACACCTGATATCACCTTTTATTCAGAATGATTGTTGCACTTTAAAGTCCTTGATCCTGAATCTGTTCGACAATATCTAATTTTTCATGGCTTAAAGTCTCACA